GTATTATGTGAGTCAAAATGTGTATCTCTAATGCTGCTGCATGAGCATCATTTGCTGGTTTAAACTGTTGTCCTGTTTCTCTTCTTCCCTACAGACTGCTACCTTGGTATCCTTGAACTACAGAAAGTATGTTTGCCTGCAAAGCACATTCAGGTAGGTGTAGCTGCAGCAAGACATGTGATCTCAAGATGCCAAATGAATACACTTGGGATAGGCTACTCCTGACGCAAGACCTGACACTCACCTACCTGTGACTGTCAGAGGTGAATACCTGCTTCAGAAATTCAGTACAAACACTCAGACAGGGATAGCTACATCCACACCTTCACTTACTCATTCTCTGTCACTGATTAGCTTGACTGCTACCAGAATAACATAATACTAAATTTGAATGTATCCTTTAATCTCACCCCTACTTTTTAGTACACCTAAAGGAACTGCAAAAGCCGTGACTATTTGACTGGCATATCAATAAATTGTTTCTCAATAATTTCTTAAGAATCCAAAATTGATTTTGGAAGCAGAAGCACTGCCTTCAAAAACACGTTCTCTTCTTGAACTCCTCACTGAAGAAAGTAAAACCCCATATCTATTGTTTATAGCCACCACAATAAACAAGTGCCCTCTCATCCCTGCCTCTCCTAGAAAACATGTAAGTCTTTCTCTTATCCATTGCTATATTCACTTCTGGTCAAACATCTTGTTTGTCAACAACTGCTGGGTAGCCTGACAGCAAGCTAACTGTTCAGGATAGGCACCCCTCATTCCTCTCATGGACCAAAAAGGTGTATCTGGCAAAGATAACTACCCTGGTTTGATGGGGCTACTTGGGACGTAGCTGGTTAGGTCTTCAGGCAGCCCAGCTGAGTGAGTTTCACTTGGCCATGCAGGAGGCTCCTTTGCTACCAAGTATCTTTGTAAAAGCTCAACAATGACATCCATATACTTTCATATTCACCAGGTTAAGTGTAAGGGGAAAACAGCCTTCTCCATGCATGCATACACTCCCACACACACACGCAAGCACCTATCTATTTGCCTAATGATTCCTTTGGAGATTTACATGGTTTGAAATTGCTCCTGACTTGTGAGCAGCTCCTGTAAAAACTTTTACTCCTTTTTTTTTTCAAGAGAACACCAGCAGCAACTTGCTAAGCATTGCAAACTATGTGGGCATTGCAAAGGCCATCAAAGAGACAGGTTTCTGCTCCCGGCTGAGTAACATGGCCAAGGGGTGGCTACCTGAAGCATGTAGGAACTTTGATGTAGAGGAGATTGCTGCAGGTTCATCTCCTTGATGTTCATAAAACAGAAGAGAAATAAAAAATAAGGGATTGTTAGAGTTTAGGGTTAGGAAGGATTATAGGTGCAATATTACTTGTGGTCTAACAAAAATGCTTCCATCACAGTTGCAAGGATCAAGCCTTTGGGGATTTAGTCTTGGGACAGTAAGAAAGGCACAGGAAAAAAAAAATAGCCTCTTTCTTTTCAAACCACTCCAACAGCAGCTGTTTTTATTTAGCTGTACCACTGAGCCACAGAAACAGACTTGGTGAATCCCTATACCTCAGAGTGATTTACAAACCAAACTTAACACCACAACCAACAAACGGGTCCTTCACACAGTTCCAGTAACACTGGAAACAGCCCCAGAGCAGCCACCAATTCCAAACAATCCAAAAGTCTTGGCAGAACTGAAGTCAGGATCCAAATTTAGCAGCTATGAGCTGCATGCTGTGGTTCAGGTTATGAAAGGAGAAAGCAGACTTTCTCATCTGTAAAGCCAGGAAGCAGAACAACTCAAGCCCAGTGCATGATTTCAGGTAGTGACCCTCCTTTTTATGAGGATAAAACGTAGGACACTCAGAAATTTTAGGAACCAGAGAATTCAAAGATGATGTCCCAGCTGCCCCTGATGTCCCAGGATCAGCTGTGGAATGACCCTGGGGGCAGGCAGGAGAAAGGTTTGTGGCACACATGGCTTCATAGAGACTGCAGAAGACCCACAATAAAAATTGAGACACGTACCTTCTAGAGGAGGACATACTTCATACTTCTTGAATATACTCAACCAGTAACAAACCAGTGATACATATAGATTCTCAAAACAGCAACTAATGACTAATCCATAGCACCATTTTATGCCCTTCTCAGTGAGCTGTCATTTTTATATTCACATTTCCTATACAGCATCTCTTTCTCCTATTCATGATAGCCCCATCAATCACAAAATCACGTTACTTACTTAGAAAGGCTTTGACAGCTATGAGAATTCAATGAGACAAAGCCAGCAGTGAATGCTTAAGTAATCCGTTCACATTTTACCCAGTCTTGCAAAGGCTGAAGGATCAAATGCTGCTGTCATAGTGATTTGGCCCCTAAAAATGCTTAGAAGTACTCTGCATAGTCCATGTACTGACAAGCAAGCAGAGTAGTGGGACACCTGTGCTGAAGTCTTTGTGCCACTGAGGGGGTATATCAGCATTTGAGGGCAATTCTGGGAACCAAAATCAGGTCTCTGCACTCTCCATACTACATAATTTTGTCTCTCCTACCTTCACTTATCAATAGTTACAGATTTTATTTCACTTATCTGCACCGCAGGAGTGTTGTTAATAAATGTTAGAAGGCACCAGACCTGTAAAATGCATTTTACTTCTACTGTAGGGAGAAGTACACAGATAATAGACTGACTCACAGAGCTTTCTCTTCAGCTTTTACTTGCTATTCTGTAACATCTTCACCCTCATAAAAAAGAACATGGCCATTACTTGTATCCACTGAAAACCAGTCTACTCCTCACAAATGACAAAGGGAGCAGTCGTCAAATAGGACACTTTTCCAGTAACAACTATAGCACTACAATGTATCATGGCAAGACAATCATAAGCATGTCAAAGCAACATTCAGGATGTTGTAATAAGGCTTATAAGGTGATGATCTCAGACTGCTCAGACAAAAAGTCCTGGGAAATCCGTTATCCGAACAAGATCATTCACTACAGCCTCTGAACTAACCAGAAATTTTTCCTCTCTTTTCCTATTTTGGTGTGTTTTGTCTGTCTCTAGCTCTAATTCAGATAAAGCTGATGGAGTTGTGGAGGCTACCTGTCTTCTGTCGCCCTGCTGCTGATCCATCCTCTCAGTTGCCATAGAGACAAGATCTGGAAGCCATGGATGGGCATGGGAGAGAAGCCTCACACAGGCTGTCCTTCTGTGGGCTCTGGGAGGACCTTTCTCAGCAGGTACTGAGAGAATCAGATTCAGTCTCTGAAGGTGAGGAAGACTCAGAAGATGCTAACCCCATGACCCACGAGAGGAACACACATTACATTGCCATTCAAAGAAACTCCAGGTACTACCGCTCCATGAGGCTGCCAAGTAGAGAGAAAAGGACTTTAAGAGAAGCAGTGCACACGGGGCATGCTACAGGTGAGTGCTGACCCAAACAGCATAATGCTCCCTTTTCCAGTGAGATTAGGAACTATAGGAGTTGATGAGATTAGAAAGGGGACAGGGAGGTTAAAAGCAGGTCACCAATCAGCACATTCACATTACAGAACACCCCTGTCTTATGACACAGCTGGCACAGAGGTGCCATCCTTCTTTGCTCAGCTTGGTAATGCAAAATGGTTGGATGCTTAAACATGCTTCATGGCAGAGAATCTAAATGTGGGGCTCTGCTTTGCCATCTCTCTACTCTCTAAGAGAAAAATTATCTAAACAGGGAGAAACATGAACCTGTCAATGAAGTAGATACTTCTTTCGTTAGCAGAAAGGACATATATTCAAAAGCAGTGAGATCTATAGAAGTAACCGCATACAAAGAAGAAGCTGGCAAGGAAACAGTCAGCAAAACCAGCTCAGTACATTGACGGACCAAGCCTCTGGAAATTGCAATGGACCTCTGTGAGAGGGGAGCAAGACTTCCCTGAAAATACAGTTGCTGCCACCTTGAATTGCATACAGCTGTAATAAACACCTAAGCTCCCTTTGAACTGGGAGGCTGAATTAACAGGAACACCATCCAGAACATACATGCACTCAGTCATGGCTTCAGCAGAAATGGAATGAGTTTGCTTTCTCTGAGTCTGAACAGAGCATGACTGCAAAACCAGGTGTTCACTGAGCTGGTGCCTTGTCTGTGAAAGAAACAAGAGTGATGAGAGCTGAAGAGTGACCCCAGAAAGGAGTTATTGGAACACACTCAGAAGTACTGGAAACAGGGCTGCAAGAGAAAACTGGAAGCGGTTTTAATTTAAATGCTAGATGATAGAGACCTGGAACTGTGAAAGCAGAAAGTGCCCTTCATCCAACAGCTGTTCAGAGAAACTGAATTTTAGAACTCCTTGTAATTAAAAGGAATTGCAGCAAAGACACCTATCCTAGCTTCAGATTATAATCTAACAGAAACAGTGCACTGGACTCTGAACTTTGGCTAGCTGCATGAGTCAAAATGATACAACACTACTCCTGCTCATGGCAGGAGGGGTTGGAATTTGATGTTCTTAAGGTCCTTTCCAACCCCAACTATTCTATGATTCTGTGATGTTTGAGTGCTATGCAAGCCTATGAAAGCTGTTGCTTTGTTGTGCAGTAGCAAAACACAGTGCTTCAGCCCCTGAAAGCAGACCAAGTTCTCTATGAGAATAGACATCCTCTAGCCCAAAATAAAGGAGGTCTGGGAAATATCCCCAAGAAAATAGGTGTCTCCTGCCTGCCTTGCCAAGGGAGCCACGCTATTTCAGCAATATAAAGGCCCATTCAACCCTGTGGCGTGGACAGAAGGGAAGTTCCCTCCTTTCTCAAAGTTTCCAAGCAGACAGCAGCAGAGCAAAGAGCTCCTGTTTAATATTCTCGTACCGTTGCAATGAGGTTTGTGGATAAACTGAGCATTGCCTGTGCCAGAGCAGAGCTGCTCTCCACCCTGCCAGTGCAGCAGCAGGACCAGAGCAGAGCCCTCCTCTCACCACCTCCCCAGAGCACTGCTGCACAGCACGCACAGAAGGGACTTGCCCTCTCTCCTGCTCCCTCAGCATCACAGCATCCAGACCACTGCTGAGAAGACCCTCACTCCTGTTACCTGCTGGTGCCACTGCAGGAGGACCAGCATGGGAGGACAGACCTTCTTCACACATCTGCAGCATCACGGCATCAGGACAACAGCACAGGAGGACTCCCTTCTGTCTAGACAGTGTCATTGAGGAAGGACAAGCAAAAAGAAGGGCTTCTCTCTTAGCAAGTCATTTGAGCATCCACAGAAGCTGACCTGCACTTGTCTTCCACACGCCCCTCCCTGTTACCACTGCTTGAAACAGGATCTGTTCCAAACAGGGCTTTTTCTTCCATATCTGCAATTGTTCAGCAAGACACACTGGGAACATTTCTTTTTTTCCAGCCCATACAGCAAGACCTGGGCTAGGAGCAATAGCTCTTTCTCCAGTATGACTGTAGCAAGTCCAGCTCAGAGCTCTATCTTTTAAATTCAGCTAGGATTGTGTAAGCAGCTCTTCTGCCCTCTCCCTCTACTTAACTGATTCCATCCCCTCTCCCTGAAACCGGACAGCGAGTGCTTCTACACCAGCCTCATTTGTAGCAGAAACATCTTCTGACAGATTTGCTGACGTGCATGGAAGCAAGGGATGGGTGAGCTCTTTTATCTTGACTTCAAACCCATTTGAACAGCAGCTATCCAAGAGACTGACTCAAGCTCAAATGTTAACCTGTTCTCATTTCTGCTAGGGAATGACTGGGAGGGGGAGGAAAGAAGGAAAGAAAGAAAGAAAGAAAGAAGAAAGGAAGAAAGGGAAAGATACAGGGGAAAATACAGAGTAGGATGCAAAATGGGAAAAATAAAGACTCAAGAAATGAGAGCACAAAAATTAATTTAAAAGAATGTAAATCCAGCACAGAGAAAGGCTTTTATATAGGCACCCTTTGCACCAGCCTAGCTTTGGCTTATAGCCTAGGAGCTGTAAAACATAATAGATGTTTTCCTTTAACTGAAAAAGAGTTTGTTTTTTTTTTAGCAATCTCCTCTGACAGAAGGATAAAGTGTTTAAATTATTCAAAAAGCAAAGAGAATAACTCAAACAGCATTTCATAAGCCCTTGGCACTGTTTTAGGGAGTTTTAAATGTCTGGATTTCACCATTTCCCTTCAAAAGTCCATAGCACTGATTAAGAGAGTGCATCAGAAACCTTCAGTCAGAAAAGCTTCAGTCAGAGCATTGAACTGCCTGTGCTGTCACCAGTTTGAAATGCAAACAGAATTATGATTTAAACCAAAATATTTCTACTAAAAACCAACAAGGCCATTTATCAACAAGCCTCAGACAACAGGAGGTTTCATTTGAAAAGTGAGATGCACCGTCTCCTGCCAACTACTGCAGTAGTAAGCCATGGACTTAATAAAACTTTGGCTCCCTGTGAAAGGATCAGAGGTTCATCTGAGGGAAATTGAAGAAGCAATTAAAAGTAAAGCTCCTGCCTCACCCAAATCTAGCCTTGACTTAAGCAGTAAACTGAATATCTACTGTGTGCATGAAAGCAGAGCAATAACAACTTTGGGAACCAAGTATTGGCATGCACAGGCACACACAGCTAAACCTCTTCTGCTTAAAGAATTGCATCAAAATCACTGGGAAATGTACTAAAAATGTTGGGACCCAACATTCACCACCAGTTTTCAGTGGTGAAAGTGCTACTTGCACTGATATGAACTGATAATGTATATATATCTTCACCTCAACTGCATTTGCATCTCTGACAAAGGCTATACAATTCTGTACTGTGCAAATTGATGACACTTCAATCTTGTTTGAAAATCCAAGCTAAAATATAGCTGTCTTTGTGGCTGTGGTCTTCCTGTTGCCTTTGATGTAAGCAAGCCACTACTTCTAGTAGAACTAAAGATGACCCTTAAGAAAATGACTGTTTTAACACCCTCTTGGGTTTCTCTTATATCACAGGTTCACTCAAAAATAATGAGCCCATCACAAAGCCTGTGAACGTCCTATCTCATAAGGGATCGCCATCTCCAGCAGACTCTGATAAGACAACATTAGATGAACTGTGGCTCCAAAGGTAAGGAAGTGCACACACAGGGTATTCACGGTGCTTCCACTGAAGAATATAGTCAGAGTGGAGTCAGAGCAAGAATGCTGGTTCTGGGAAGGACAGCTGGACTAAGTTATAGCTCTGATCCATGCCTTCTCTCCTTGCTGGTTTCAGTCTTAATGATATATATTACATAGTAGTAGCATCATGGTATAAAAGGTCTCATCAGTATAAGTTTGGAGAAGACAGTGAAGGAAAAAGAGGGAACAAGAAGACAGTGGGGAAGATGGAAAAAAAGGGAATGTGATGTAGGATCACCCAGTGGTATAAGCAAAGCAGACAAACTGCCTTCAGAAATTTGTTGAGAGAATAAGGAGAGCCTGGAAGCATTTTCTTATGGAACATCTGAACATAAGGTTGATCCCATTCTTGGTCTTCCCAGAGGGCTCACCTGAAGCCTGTTATACAACCCCACATAAGAAACCAGGATTTTATAGCTGAAGAAATAGCTACAAAGATGTTTTCTAAAGTATTCTGAGTTTCTGTTAGCTGCTTACTTTGAAGAACTGACAGGCAACAGAGGCTTTCAGTGCGATAGCCCTTTTTGCCTTAAATCCCTCAACGACCTAGGTCCAGCAAAGGGCCCGTAAATGTACATAATCCCATATATATTTACCCTCATCCCTGCTCTTCTGCCACTGCAGCCAGGCAGAGAGAGGAGCAGCTACAAAGTCTTACATTTTCAAACTAATAATGTATTCTCCCAAACTCCCTCCCAGCTCCTCCTCTTGTGTGTATAACTGCGAGATAGTCCCCTATTTGTACTGTAGAAGTTCAAGATGGAAGTGCTAAACACTTGCCCTCTAATGCTGTACTGTGTGGTCCTAATTGCTGAGCCCAGCTGTGTTGGTGTAATTCACCTTTCCTTATGGAGAGGACTTCAGTAAAATAGTTTTAGCCAAACTACCAAGTTGGATTGAAATGAATTAATTGCCCTGGCTAAAGCTGATTGCCTTTGGCGTTAAACTGAGCAAATGAAATTAGACAGTTATAGTCTGCTGCAATGTCAAACCCATCTGTCTTCCTCTCCTTGTGGCACAATCATCACTGTCAGCCTCTGACATCCTGACATCACCACTTAGGCAGAACTGAAACGTGCAAAATCTGATTCTCTCTGGAGCTGGGAACAATGAGCCTGTGCTGGGAGTCAAAGATGCTGCTGTGCACAGAGCTTGACAGGTCAGTACATGTTCTAAATCGTGTCTGCCAAAGCAGGCAATGCTGCTGAGTGACAGCATCTCTTTAAAGCAAGCAAGAAAATTTGACAGGAAATGAGTCTGGAGTCCCAGCTTAAACTGAGCCCATTCCTCTTCTTCCCTTCTCCAAAAGACCAGCTGTAATTTATAAGAGAACCACTAGGAATCTGCATTGTGAAAAGCCTGCAGGAGCCTAAGGATATTGCCATTATTTGCAGTAATCACTATGCTCCCCCTTCTATAGAGAAAAGAAACCATCGTGCAGATAAGACACCTAAAATACTACCACCGGTCTTAAGAAACTCATTTAATCTCTCTCTGGAAGAGTAAAACTGGTACCTGTCAGCCAAGAGCATTCTGCTGAAAGTAGAAGCTAGCAGTTCTACAAAAAGGACATATAGGCACTTTTGACTAGCACTGGGGTTCTCAGGAGTGAATCACCACAATCCTGAGGGCAAATGGGGCATCACTGCTGCATCTCTTCACATTCAGCAGTGTCTCACACCAACTATATAAATGTTTGGGCACAATCCCTTCTCCTTGCATGAAGATAAACAGCAAGTTTAACACAAATGGGTTCTTCACTGATAAGGATGTCACTTCACATATCGCCATGCTGCATAATTTAGAAAAGGAAGTAAACACAGCAGGGCAATGTAGTAAACAGCTCAGGAAAAGGCATCATTATCTGCACTGTGCGTAGATGTGATACAGATTGATACACTCTGATTAAGAAAAAGCACCACAGGTGCCTTCAAATCCACCAGTGACTTGAATCTATGTGCTATTCAAAACTCTGAGAATAGTCAGGTAGTTCACTGATCTCAGAACAATGATGTCTGAAAACATTAGAATGACCTCAAACATTACTGCTGGTGTTCCAGAATCTCCCATATGCCCTTTGTAAGATACTTCTTATGAGCATTTTTATGCCTAACTATTCTCAAAGCACTTTTTTTTTCCCCATGATCTTTCTTCTGTGCAACTGTCAGCTCCCCCTTGACCACTCTCAAGTTTTCTCCACAACATCCCATGGCTCCATCCCAGTCTTTCAAATCATACAAAGACCCAAGCCCTCCACATGACAAGCCACTTTCCAACAACTCAACTGATTCACCCTGAATATTTCAGGGCTGATCTTCCAGCACAACTGCTGTTTTTCAGAGTAACCAGAGCCAAAGACCTTGAAGGAACTGGACTAAAATAAAAGCTAAAGCTGCTCTTTCCCTCTGTGATGAGTCCTTCCAGCTTCACAGAGGCAGCAGTTGTGTAGACTGAGACCATGGAAAGGCATCACAGAAAAACACTCACCTGGAGTGTCCCTCCACAACTGCCTCAGCTGAAAGCAGCTCCCACAGAGACTAAGAAATTAGTCATTTCAAACCCTAGAAAGGAGATTCACTAATCAGTGTCTACCCTATATTACCAGCTAATAGGATGTTGCCTTCTCTTCATTTCTAATAGAATACGGATGTTTTGGCAGCATGACTGTCTTATTTACCTTCCATTTCCCACTGAGTCACATTCAAAAAATGATATGTCTTTATTATGGGCCACTAGAAACAGCAGAAGAGAAATTCAGTGAGAAATTTCATGTTGCCAAGCTCACTGCAAGGTGATCAGTCTACTGGTGCAGAGCAAACCATTTCTTTAGGCTGGTTACAAACCCTCCAATTCAGAGAAACAAAGATCATCTAAAAATCATTTGATTGTGTTAGATCTGAGTTCAAAGAATAGAAGTACTACAACAGTGAATACAAATAGTCACCTTCAGCAGCAAAAGGGAATCTAACTTCATTGAATTTATGCAAACACGTATATTAGAAAGAAACAGTATGCATGTAAAACAGCACTCTGAAGGGTGCCTGTGCAAATTTTGAGTTAGCATCTCTTAGCTCAACACTGTCCTAGGCAGCAGAGGGCACTGGTTATAGCGTGGTTTAACCAGGAAAGCAAGGAAGCCTCTGGAGAGGCTGGAACCTGTATTGCAAAAGGTCCTATACCATACTCGAGCACTTTCTTTCTATTTACGAAATAAATTGCTTACAGTTATCTCTTCTCTATGCTGCCAGCAGTGATCAGTTTGCAAGTGGTGAAGTCAGGAACAGCTGGTGCAAACACGTTGACCAAACCTTTGTATTTTCTCAAAGTACAACAATTTTTGCTCTTTTAGAGATAGGTAGGCAGGTAGGTAGGTGGGTAAGCAGACAGATAGATAGATCGCTATAGATAGACAGATAGATAATTTTTTATCCCTCTTTTTGTACAATCTGAACCTTGAAAAGTCTAAGAGCAACAGTATTTGCGGGGAGAATAATTTTAAAAACTTCTAAATTTTCAGTAAAAATAGCCACTGTTTATACTGTCAACATCTCATATTTCACAGGATCATATAGAGAAGTAAGCAATAACATACACAAGTCTGATTAGGTATCCTTCCAGCATGCAGCCAATGGAGATCCCAATCCCAGTCTGCCCACTTACTCTACCCAGTCTCTGCTTGCCAGGTTTTTCAGCCCAGTCATGGTTTCCTTACCCAGCAAGCTCTAGGTTTTGCCCTCCTGCTCTCCCAGTGTGATCCACTTCATCTGGTTATACCCTGACCCTCAGGTCCTCAACCAATCTCTCTGCTTCACTCCTTTAATTCACCTTTTTTCTGTCAGCTTCAACTTGTAATTCCTGACAATTTCCTCAGCCTACTATTTCCCAGACATATTATTCCTCTCTCTTCCCTCCTGCAGCTCATACCTCAGCATCCTACCATGCCCCAGGCCCCTCACCTTTTGAATTCTCATACAAACCTAGTCTCCCACCCCTCCTCCTAGCCCCAGTGCTCCATTTTACAGCCTTTTCCAACTCTTTGTTTCCTAAAGCACCCAGGTGTGGGTGAGTTCCTTTTTTTTATAGCAGTTTCCTGGTCCAAAAGTAGACCTTTCCCCCTGCATACTTGAATATTGCCCCCTCTGCTCTTCAATCAAGTAGTTTTCTCACCATGATGCTGAGACCCAGCACAAGCATCACTGAGGTTACAGCAGAAACAGCCTTTATTCACAGTGTCTAGAATTGGACCAGGCAGAGTTTGTAGCTGCAATATCACAATTGTTTCTCTTAGCTCTGAGCAGGGCATGTGTTCTCTCCATGGGCAGCAGCTCACGGATTTTAGATGCTAAAATCTAAGTCTAACATTTGTGTGTATTACAGAGAGTGGAAAAGGGCCTATTAATTCCTATGGATTTTCATAAGTATGGCAAAGATGAAGCCCTCACAAATTTCAACTCGTATATCAACAGAAACCAAGGCTTCCTAAGGATAGGTTTTCTGTTTTCCTTTAATAGGAATTCAATACTTTATTCTTAAGCTTAAGAAATTGATAATTGTTTTCAATAAATAAAAAAACAGCGTGTCTGTGGAAGATGGTCACAGTAAATAAAAATGTAGCATCAAAAGGTTCAAAGCACCAAAACAGAAGGATCTCATAACAGGAAGTTCTGCACATTTTTAGTTATTGGCATGGCTGCCAGCCGCAGCAGATATAATGAAGATATTTTGATGAAGGACGTTCAGGAGAACAGATGTGCTCTTGGCCTTTAGGATCTAAAAATATTAGGGATGAGGAGTTCCACTTATCTCCCACTAAAAAGTCAAAACCCAGAAATAAAACTTGCACAGACACACCCATTGTCAAAAACACTGCTAAAAGCCACACATGAACGGAGAGAACCTGAATGAACCTGAAGGATGAAAATACCCTTGACTAGGTATAACATTATTCAAATCTATTACTGGCTTCACACTTCTCCACAAATTTGGTTAGCTCAGATTAAAACAGTGCTTCTTACCTCATCTTGTGGCCTTTCTTGGTGTGAAACTCCCACTGACTGGAAGGATTTGGGGGATTTTTCATGAATAAGATCTCCTGGGCTGCTGCTTCTCTTTTTAGTTTCTGGAAGAGGAGGTCTAATTTCTAAAAGCTGCTGTAAAAGAACATTAAAAAAATGAATTTCAATATCATTTGAAGACAAGCTCTTTGCACAGTTTTATTCTAACGATTGCTTTGGAGTTTAGACACACATTAAAAAATCTTAATACAAATAATTAATCATTTTTCCAAATTCCTATGCCTGAAAATACAATTAATTAATCCCCCAAACCCAACTTAAACGAGATAATTGTAATAAACTAACTATAAACTCACAGCAATTACCACATTTTTAATGCAACCATGGACCAGGTCAGTCAACATTTAGTCTTTTCCAACAGCAGTGCAGTGAATCTGGAAACAGCGTGCAACCACATGAACCCCTTCTTTGCAGCACATATGCAAACTCACACCAGCTCTCCTTTGCCCACAGAGAGCTGAATCATGGTTATGCTCTATGTCACCAGAGCACACAGATTAGTTCCAGTGCCTGTGTGCTTGGGAATGCTAAGCAGTCCTGAGACAAAACTGGGCTTTGGTGTGTCAGGGAGCTGCATGACTTCTGTCACCAACAAGAGCACAATGCACTTGTATGGTTCTGGGATAGGATTTTTCACTGGTTGCTTGAGTGTATGTGGTTCTAGTAAAACATAAAGTCAGATTCTTTTTCTTCCTCTACAACTAGACAGGAAATTTTTAGGATGAAATACAGGGATTTTGGTCAGAAAACTGATTTGCCATCATGAGATTTAACTGACTTTAATGATATGGAGGAAAGCTTTTTAGGCTCTGTATCAAATTTGTTGTTGATACAGAGAGAAAAACGAAAACCTCCTCCAAACTCCTACCCAGATGGTTAAGATTAGATGGAGCAGGAACTTCTGCTTGAGCCTGAAGCTCCACAGCAGTGTAAAACAATCCAAGGTGGCACTGCCATGTCCTGCCATCCATCTGCATGTCTGCCACCTCCACTATGCTGGCACTCACTTTGAACTCGCTCCATAGTGAGACAATCCAGACACAACAAAGCTAGTTCTACAAAAAAAAAAAAAAAAAAAATCATTTTCCACCAGTGTAGCTGCCCCAACCTGTTCATCGAGAAAGAGATGAGCATGAGTGCTAGCATAGAAGCTGAGGTAGAAATCTGCCTCAGGGAGCCAAGTGAAGACTGGAATTGAGCAGCTAGGTCAGCTTAAACTGCACACAGTCCTATCAGTTGTAGAAGTAGGGAGGAAGAAAGAGGCAGCTGTACTGGAGCTATTCTACTTGGCACAGATAGCCTGGTATTAGCTGACCTAAAGTAGTATCTGGTGAATAAGTCATTCACCAGGTTCAAGAACCTTTTCCAGTGACCAGCGAAAGCAGAGCAGCTCCAGGAAGAGAGACTGATCCACCCTGGAACAGGCAGTAACATGTGGGGTGGGAAAGAATGACACAGCCATGACTTGGACCTGGATCTTCCACACCCAGCACGAACATCCCAGCCACAAACCCACTGTGAGAGAATCACTTGGTTGCCCACCTTCATTTTCCATTATGAATGCTGAAAGCTTTCTGGTTTGTCCCCAAAGAGAAAAGAAAGATTTAGAAAATCCTGACAATTTTTGTAGGACAAAAATATCTCATTCTTGCTAAATATCTGTCACCTCTCTTGGGAGAAAAAGTGTTTCTCAGGCTTATGGACAGTGTATCATGTTGATATACTCCCATGTATCAACATGAAGTATGAGCATAAACATGGAAAGGCAGAAAGAGCAACATTTTAGAAAGACCAAGTTACAGTTAAAAAAGAGAAAAGTTCTAAGGGAAGGAAAATTAGACTATTAGTCATTGATTTCTACACAGTGGAACAGATCTCCGACACAAAAATACGAGCTGTGGCCTCCCGTGGCCACAGGAGGCATTTCACTCTCAGCTGGTGCTCTCACCTCTTCGTAGCTTCCAACGTATTTATTACCATCATTACTTTTAGTGATATTTTCGGGTTTTCATCTCAGGCCAAAAGTGAAATTAGTTTGGAAAATGTGAAGTAAAAAGGAAGACAGGCAGGATCAAATTACCAAATTTGGATCAACTTATCAAATTTGGGATCCTGGAAAGATGCTTTCTATTTCTGAATGTTTTTCACACCATGACCTAGATGCTTTTTCTAAAAAGAAATTTCAACTTGCAAGACATTTAACCCTTGGGAGGGAAGAAATGAGAGGGGTGAGAGTCTGTTAAACTCCTAAAGCATACTTCTGATTGTTTTTTCAGTAGATACACCCAGAAGTTACATTTAGATAAATATTAATTCCAGCAGTATCAGCAAGAACTTATGCAGTGACTTCCTTTTGCAAACTAGGGAGAACTCCCCACTGCTCTTGGTCCTTCCCTTCAGAAAATAGTAAACAGCCACCATGCTTTTCCAGAACTCAAGATAAGGAGGCTCCACTTCTCTAAGAAACAAGCTTTTTAGCATCCCACCCACTTACTGAAACCCTTGACAACATTTTTGCCCTGGCAGCAAGCCACCAAAAATGACGTCAGTCACTAGGCAGAGCTTCAGATAGTCTCTGGTGCTTTATCTTTTCCACAATGCACCTTTGTCTCCTCAAACCCCCTATAGCCCCTGTGTTTAATGTCTGATAACTCACGTTCATCTCATACTGACCATCTACCTGGTGACAATCTTCCCAATGCAGCCCCAGCTGTCATGCTCTCTTCCTACTCCTCTCAAGTGCAAAAGGCTGTCTACAGCTACAGCTCTCAACCTCATTCTGATTTTTCCTATCCGTTGTTTGGCCCTTCCGACTTCTCAGTGTGGGGCTGGACTGACAGTTTTCTCTGAGTCTTCACCATTTCTAGCTGTTTTTCTTTGCTGTTCTGCCTCTTAATGACTTAAGGAGTGAGGTCTCTGCTGTGCCAGATCAAGATCTAGTTCACATAAGCTGACGGAGTTTTTCTGAATGTACAGTCGTGTACCGATTGGAAGCTATCCTGATGTACTATTTAGCAAATACAATATAAAAATGACAAAAAAGGAAAGCATATTACACACAGAGACCAACACACAGGTTTTGTATTGGTGCATAAATTATGTTACCAAGAACAGAAAGAAACACAGTTATTTATGCGACAGGGAGCAAGAGAACACGGGGGATAGCTGAGCGATTTCTGGCTGTTAACTCCTCAATTGCAACGTGGTGCAGATGACGGTTTTTTTTTAGCTGAGGGTTACTAACGTGTAGGGAAGAGCTGCACCCAACCTGTCCACAAGCACTCAAACTGATCCAAGGGTGTAACCGTAGTCTGGAGCTCAAGAGGATTTACCCCTGAGGCGGAAAAACAATTACCTGAACGAAGACAGATACAGATCATTGAGTACTGAGACGCTTACTACTTAAACGAGACAATATATCCTTATGGAAGTAGCAACGCTAAGGAAGGGGAGACGGGGGAGATGACTGAGCGGGTGCAAAGCCCTGCCGGAGGAGGAGAAGAGGAGAGCGGTCACTCCTGTGGGGTAACCAGGGGTGCAGTTCCCAGCAGGAGGGATTAGGCTGAGTTTCCCAGTTACATTCCTCCATCTCGGGGTTTCAGTCCTGGAGAAGAAAAGCACCATATGCACCAGATCTGGAAGCAGTTCAGGAGAGACCCCCTCTCCTACTCCTTTTTCTCCCTCAAAGCCGGTGCACATAGGCAGAGAGGTGCAGAGGATGGGGAGCAGCGCTATGTCCTGGGTCAGAGGGAGGAGAACCCTGAGGGGTGGCTGTGCATGGAGCAGAGGGGGCTGAGGCCCTTACTGGTGCATAGGGTGGGATGGCGGGTGTAGGTGCTTGCTGGGGGAGGGTGCCTTGCTGGGGAGGGGAGGGAGGGAGATGGAGAAGGGGCTTCCCTGCGTCTGAAGAAGCCTCTCTTCAGGAGAGCAGGGGGGATGGAGGTAGGGGTGCCCGTGAAGGTGGGGGGGCCCTGGGGCAGGCATCACCGCCTTTTGGGGGGGCCCTTGGGGAGGAGGGAGTGAGCCTCCCGGTGGAGGAGGGACCTGCGTTGGAGCGCTGGAAGGGAGAGGTGGGGGGCTGAGAAGGTCTCTGCGGGCAGCGGTGCCGGGCATGGGGCTGCGGGGGGGTCGGGCCCTCTGAGACGGGGAGATCCTGAGGGGCTTGGAAAGGATTTTTGAGGCTCGGAACCTGAGGGGCTGTGGGAAGCCTGAGGGATCGGGTGGGAGCTCCGATGGCTGAGTTTGGGGGGGCTCCGAAGGGGCTGCAGGGAGCTCTGAGAGAGCTGGGTTAAAGAACTCTAACGGGCTCGGAGAGGTCTCGAACTTGGGGAAGGCTGAGGGGGCTCTGCAGGGATGTGGCAAGAGCTCTCGGAGGAGATCTAGGAACGCAGTAGAGGGGCTGCAAGGGGATATGGCGTTCTGAGTGGCTTGTGGGAGCCCGACGGAAGGCTCCGAGGGGATTTTGAGAGGTCTGTGTGCAGAGAATCTATGGGAATACCTGAGGAAGGTCTGAGGTAGCTCTGTGGCGATTTAGGGGGAGAGCCCCATGGTGGTTCTGAGGAGGCTTGGGAAGGCTCTGAGGGGATCTGGGTGGAGAGACCCTGGAGGTCTGGCTGATAGGGGGGTCTGAGGGGAGGCTCTGAGAGGATTTGAGGCTGCTCTTAGGAGGTTTCGGGGGGAGCGTCTGCGGAGAGGGTCCGAGGGGACCGGGGATGCTCTGAGGGGATCCGGGGGGCTCAGAGGGTCTCGGGGTGCTGCGGGGGCGCCCCGGGGGAGGCCGCAGCTCCCCTCTCCCTCCCGCGCAGGCTGCTGCCTTCCTACCCCCGTTACCGTGGCAACCGCCCGGGCTCCCCCAGCCCCGCGCCGCTGCCGCCGCCGCCGCCGGAGCTGCTCGGCAGCCACCTGCCGCCGCCGGCCATGGAGCTGCTGGCCGCGGCCCTCAGCGCCGCCTGCGCCCTCGACCAGGACGGCTCTGCGGGACAGCCCGGCAGGTGAGCGGAGAGGGCGGGACTGAGGGGCATGGAGGGGTGCGAGGGGCCACGGCCGGGAGCGGGGCGCCCCGCTGCTGCCCCTGAGGGTGGGTGCCTTTGCCTCCCACAGGGAGCCCCCCGCGGCCGCTGAGGAGAGCCCCGCCGCAGCCACGGCGCCGCCTGCCCACCCCATGACGGCCGACTCCTGGAGAAACCTCATCGAGCACATCGGTAAGGAGCCGTCCAGCGGCGGTCCCGGCCGGGGTGTGCGGCCAACCGCGCTCTCCAACTTCGCCGCTTTGCCCGCTGCCCGCGCTGGCGGCAGCACAGCAGCCCCTAGAGGTGCTGCCGCAGCGGGTTGGGACCCTCACCCGCTCCGAGCCGTCGTGTCCCATCCCCTTTAAACACCCCCAAAGCCTCAGAGTTCAGCGAGTGAGACCCAGGTCTGAACCCGAGCGGTACGTGGCAGGAGGCAGCCCCAGGCAGGGGTAGGGCTACTGTGTTGTGGGAACCCAACTCTCTCTCCCTGGTCCCTCACTGTTGGCGTAAGACATCATGACCATCGCCTTACCGGTGACTCTTTGCTGTCTTTAGGGGCAGCAGGCTCTCACGCTGCCTGACATGAGATCTTATGCTGTCGCTGAGCAACTTTACCCCATCCATAAATAATGATTACTTTTTGTAATTATGTAGTCGTTAATTGTTAAGGCTATAGCCAACTTTCTGCTGAAATCTCATTCTGCCTACTCAAAAAGGTGTAAGTCTAAAGCACAGGATCAACCATCATGTTGGACATTAGTTGTATACACTAAGGTAGCATTTGCAGCAGAGGAGTAAGTCATTTTACCATTTGCAGTCTCTTTATAAAAGGAGAGTGGCGGGTGTCAGGTGGCAGTGGAGGAAAGGATGGTTATGATTTTGCTCTTGTGGTATCTCTGAATTCATTTTTTTTCTTGTGGGATGTGGAGAGGACTTTCACAGCTTGTTTCTTGGTTTCCCATATGGTATTGTGAGATTCCCCAGAGATTTGGGCAACTGCAAAGTGAAACCCTATCCTGAGGCAGGTTTTATGGTGGGAATAGAGAAGCTTCATTTTTAAACAGTTCTGATCAATTTCAGGAAATTAAATTGCAAGATGCTTGAATCTAGAGGGCAGGAATGCAGCACTTTGTGTGGGGAAATCAGGTAGATAAATCTCATGAGCAGTTAGGTGAGCCTCTCTGCCAGGAACAAGGAGGATCCTCATGCAGTCTCTGCAGTTTGGTGTCAGGTCATGGCAGGCAGGGCTCATTCCTGGAGCACCTGATGCCAGTGGGACAGTGCTGGGGAAAGGGGCTGGTGTGAAACCAGAAGCCTGACAGTGTCAAGACCAAAGAGCTGAGTTCAGCAGGCCTTCTGGAGGAAAGTGGTGAGCAATTTACGTAAGTGTTGCCAGATCTGTTGCTTGCTTGTGGCTGTGTAAGTACTAATCTCCCAAGGCAGATGTGGCATATGTTGTCAGTTAATTAAGAGGCATGGTAAAAATACTTAAGCCAGCAGGACTTCAAATCTATCCAGTTGCTATATTCATGTATATTTTTATGTGGTGTGTATCAGAGGGATGCCTGCCGTGTTATAGATCTGCACTTGTCAGTGCAACTGCAAGTAGGTCTGTCGCACCTTGGTGGAGGAGATGGGGTTTGCTATGCTAATGCCCAGAAGAGGTGTCATTTCAAACGGCTGGAGCACACTCTCTCCCTTCCCTCTCTCTTGCTTTTGAGACATTAATGGGCTTTTTGCTTGAAACTGGAGCAGAGAATTTCAGAGAAAACGTCTCTGGACCTCCTGAGATTTTACATGGCTTTCAATGTAATAGCATTCACTTTAAGAGCACTGCGAACTCTCTAAGGCAGGCATTTCCACATTTAGTAACTAGTTTGTCAATTTTCCTCACAGTTTTTGAGAGAGCTGGGAAGGGAGACTGTGACAGCTAAATTAAATGGAATAAACACAAACAGAAGAGTCTGTTATGTACTGTACAAACTATGTAAACACCCCTTAGGAAGATCAGCCTTAACCACTTATGTCAACAGGCGACACCAAACCTGTGCTCTGACCACATAGCTAACCTCTACCCAGGTCACAGTAGGGATAGTTGGGGCATTAAGCAATTAATGGAACTTTTACACGTCTCTGACATTTTGCACTTGTTCACTTACTAAATGTAAGCATTTACTAAATCATTGGAGCTTCTGAGTCACATTCAACTACTGATCTCAGCTTCATTCTACACATTGTCAGTTCCCAGTTGTATTGCTCTCCTTTCAACAAGTCAAAACCCTGTTCCCTGACCTTGCATCTGTTATGCCACCCATCTTGTGCCACGACCATCTCCTGCTTCATCTAGTATAGAATTTTGCATGGCTTCTCTCCTTCTCTTTCTCATCTGAGCCTTTGCTTCTACCCATTGTATCCTCTTTACGAACACATGGATGGACCTTTTACCCCAAGACAGCAAGATATCTTTTATCCTTGCTAGTACAACCCTCTTCGTTTCTGCCTACCCTTCTTCTGCCTAAACACGTACCTGTCTTTCATCTTTCTGCTGGGTATCAGCTTTCTTCTTCCTCCCCATATGCCTGTGGTAGAGCTTCAGCTAATATCTCATCAGTTCCCCCATAAATGAGTTACCTTGCTGTCATTTCCAAATGAGTTCTGGTGGTAGATGCCTTTAGTCACGTGTCCATATTTGCCTTTGCCTGCCACTGAAGACTCCATAGGTCTTATCTGTTTGATTGGCCAGACAGGGAACCTGGAAGGAAAATCAAGTTTCATCACCTGGATTTTATTTCCTTAAAAGCAAGGGGAGGTTTGTCTTGAGGATCTTTTTTGAAGGGCTGCTTTACAGATCTGCACAAGGGACATTAAATCCCCTTTACACAAAATATCCTTAACTGCCTCTGACTTGAAGGGCAGACCCACCAGCACAACATGTCTGCGCAGTCAGACAATGCAAGTATAATTATCTCCAATATGAGTAAAAGAGATTATGATTCAGTTTCCCAGTATGCCTTCCCTTGAGTAAAGCACTGCCCATACTGCTGCAGGGTGGTACTTCCCAGCCTGTCCTGCTGTCTAGCGTGAAGAAGGCGTTCGGTGCCCTACCACACAAAAGCCTTCAAGCACAGGCTGAACTTAAAGACAGGTAAGTGCCACCAAAAGCAGGTCTGATTCAGCAGGCTCTTCACTCTGTTCCCAAAGGAGCCTTTCCACCCCTCTACATCCTTGGTACCCTCATGGATGCTGAATAACAGGCAGAAATGCTTTGGAAAACCATACAAGCCTAGTTGACACAGAGAGAAATTATGTAAGTAGCAGCAGCATGCAGAACTTGGGGGGAACTCTCCTCTCTCTGGTTATCATGTAGGAAGCTAACAGAAGCCTGTATGGTTTCCTAGGCACAGCTACCCTTATTGCTATTTTAATCTGGTGTTGAACATCTTTCCAGGCAGAACAGATAACAGGATGCACTCACGGGCTGTGGGAACGATGTCCCTGTGCCTGTGCTTTTCCCTAGGCATACCTCTGATATAGTTCTAACAGTGACTGGCACAGAGACTTGTGAAAACCGGTCCAGAGATTTAACAGGCAGTAGCATATACATTTCTGCCCTCTCTAGACAAACTCCTGTCCTAGTTGCCTCTCACCTTATTGCACATGGGATCTGCTTCTGAGATCCAATATCATGAATGCATGGGACCAGATAGACTTTAAACCCTAATGATCCAAAATAAATTATGTATGTTGTGCCTTTTTCCTTTTTTTTTTTTAACATCAGTAACTTTTCTCTTTATTCATTCATGTTACACTTCGCAATTTAAGTACAAAGCAAGGGAGATAATGTAAATTGTGTTCCTTCAGTTTGAGTGAGGAGAGTGACTCAGAGCAGGCTCATGCTTTCTTGTCTTTTCATATATTCTAAATGATATTTTACATTCAAGCAATTAATATTCTGGTCCTACCGATGGTCCAGAAAGAAAAGTGGGACAGTAGAAAGCCCTAGGAGAGACAGAGGATCTGCTCAGGATGGCCAAGGAATTTCAGTATTCCTGCCCTTTCCATGCTGCCAGCTGGAATCAGGGGTGGGGGCAAATCCTGTGCAATATCGTCTGCTCCTGAAATTTATAACTGAAACTCAGAAGACGCATCTTGTGATTGATGTGCCACAAGATGGTGTGAAATCAGAGCCTTTTCCTTAGTGCTGTAGCGTTTGGGTACCTTTTGAATGTTAATTTCCTATCTTCAATCATCACAGAAACTTAGACAGAAAACACAGGAGACTATTAAGCAACACGTCCAAGGCTAACCACAAAGTCAATACCAAAACAAGCTAGTAACTGTGGCTTGTTGTCCCAATGCTTCACCTGTCCAATGCCTTAACAGAAGCTCTGTTTTTCCTCCTTAAGGATTTTCAGGGCCATCAGATTGCTCCTTGAAAGTAGTTTCAATGAATGCAGTATTAGGTTTCCAGGCACACAGTTACACATACCTAACAACCTGTAACTTGTAACATAATAATATTGCAAAGAAAGTTGAGTTTTGAAAGAAACCTTTTAAAGCCTGGCAACTAACAAACCACTTGTTTTATGTCTTCCAATGGGTCATGGATTCATCTGACTGTTACTAAATGTTTTATGAGAGCAGATTGTTGACAACGCTTTAGATTTAGAAATGGCCTTCCATTTATAGTTTCCACTTCTGGCTGAAATAGGAATGCCGGAATTGGCTTTCCTGCTTAGCACTGGTGGGATCTCTCTCATCTCTGCTGAGACCAATTGATGCAGAACAACTATCTTTGCCTATGATACATTTCTACTCTTGTTCAGCTGTAACCTCTCAGACCTATTATGTTGCCTCCTAGGGCTCTTGTACCAGGAATATCGAGATAAATCTACACGCCAGGAAATTGAAACCAGACGACTGCAGGATTCACAGACAGACCCCGAGGAGAGTTCACCCAGTGAGGAAACCCCATCTGAAGCAGAACCTACCAGTACACCTGAAAGCAAAGCTCCACCACAAATCAGTTTGCTGAGGAACTCCAACTCCAGGTTCAACTTATGGCAGGATCTTCCCGAGATCCGGAGCAGTGGGGTCCTCAGCATTCTCCAGCCAGATGAGATCAAGCTGCAGGAGGTAACGGGGAAGGTGGAATGTTTTTTAACTCGGTCGCTGCTTAAAAGAGTGAGAGTAAATTAGTCAAATGATCAAGACTTAAAAATTAAAAGCCCCATAGGAGTCACAGACAAGCCTTGCCCCTGCTGGGTACTCTTCTGCATTAACACCACTCACTCATTTCTTGAAACTACAGATGTTGTTTCTGTAGAAAAAAAAAAAAAAAAGAACTTCTTTTCCCTTTTCTGATTCAGCATTAGGAGCAACTTACAAAGGAAAAGGGATAATGAAGAGGCACTTGCAATACAGCTTTTGGTTCCCAGTGCACATGAATCCTCTTCTGAAGTTACTTACTAGCAGGATACATACTTTCCACCAGAACTCTTAGAAGACTTCAACTATTAACTGTAATCTGTTTTAAACATGATTGCATTAACAGAAAGGGAAGAGATGGATGAACTGCCTTAATTTTAAATGTTGTTACTTGGAGTCTTATGCAAAACAGTAAAAACCAGTGACAGGTATATTTGCATTTTAGCCATACAGTGCAGTGGCATCACTGTTTAAGAGTCCTACACTGTTAATGTATAGGTCTGTATCAACAGTGAAAGAAGGGGGGGGGGGGGGGGCAGCTGCCATAATTAATGAAAACATCAGTCACACAACAGCTTACAACTGAGTGCTATTTTGGACAGCGTGGAGGCTGAGAGTGCTCTTTGATAATGTACAGCCAGCAGTGGAGATGAGCAAGCCTTGTTTAGTGTGTGGTGTGCAATTGGCCTTCAAGGGCTCTATCCTGCAGGTCCTGCTGTACTCCCTGTGCCAGGATTGCTTCTCAACAATGGTGAGACCATTGTTGCCGTGTGTCTGTTCAGCTCTGGCTCATGAGATTGTACCCCAAACGCTGGGGAACATCTCAGGGTGTGAGCAGTTCCCCCTAAACTTACTTGAATTTGCACAATCAACCTTTACGAATCCTGGGTCTATACAGTGCCATCCTCGTCCTGGCCAAATTATAACTTCACTGTTACACTGGAAAGGCTTATCTTATGAACTGCAGGGGTGTGTTACTTACACCCTTGGTAGAAGGGATTGGTGTTTATATAGGGTAGCTTGGGCCAGCAAGCACAGGCTGTTAGTGTGTTAGGGTTATGTCTGAAGGTGACTGAAATGATTTGTTGCTTTTCCATGATCTTCCTCTGCTCTGGTTATTTTCATATCAGATGTGTTCTGTATACCTGGCAAAACAGGGTACTTTTAACTGCCAGCGTTACAAACACAGTCTGGCATCTGAAAAATAATGAGCTTTTATTTTTCTTTCTGCTTCAAAATGAAGAGTCTTTTACAGAGAAACATTTGCTTAAAAGTTTGCACTAGAGATTTCAAAACCTGCAATTTCTGTTGAGTTACGTTCATTACCTGTGGGTGTTTTAAGGAAAAAATCTCTGCACTGCTAAACCCCAGCACTAAGTGTGATGAATTTTCTTCTCTCTGCTTAAATAACAAGAGAAATAAAGCAGATGGAGATGGGACGTTGCTGCCTTAAAGAAGTGCTGTTTCCACCAATGTTAGTTTATCAGAGCTGAAATTTTCTTCCTATTTGTTCTAGGATTAGCACAGTGAGAGAATATAAAATTGCTCAAAGCCAGAAAGCTGTGAAATTGGCTGAACATTGAATGAAGTGGAGAACTGGCTTTGTGAGGAGAGTGAAGGACAGGAAACTAGGAATGATGGAGAAGTCTCCGAGGCAATTAAAGAGATAAGGTTGAATTCAACCTTGCTATATGTGAGCACTGCTTGCTCCTGCAGTACTGGAACTGTACTTATGTTGGATATGAATTAGCAATATGAGCTGTACATGAAGGCTTGATGAAGTGAACGTAAAGTTTTCAGCTTCATGAAGGAGAATTGGAGGAATTTACCTGAAGTAATTGAGAAGTAATTTCTGAGCAGCAGAAATTCTGGAGTAACTGTCTAAAGTAAGAAATCATTCCTTTCTGACCCCTGTAATCCTCAAACCTATGGTAAACACAGGGACCAGAAGAGCTTGCAGCTCTTCAGCCAGGAAAGGTGGAATAAGAGTATTATTTAGACCACAGGGAAGAATACTGGCACACAAACTAAAAATTGAAGCAAACACCCCTGTTCAGAGCTGAGGAAGGGAACCCCACCATAGGTATGATGGAGCAGGGCTTAAACAGCCAGATTAAAAGTTCCTTACCTGCAGTAATCCTCAAAATTAAAGACAAGAACAAGAGGAGGAATCTGGTCTTGATTTTGGCAATGACAGAAAATGACTGAGCAGGTTATCAATACAAGATAAAAAACAAGACCTAGGTGTTTTTCAAGCATCAAAACAAGAAACTTGACAAGAAGAGCAATGGATGCTTGAAAAGTGTCATGGAAGGCAATTTGTCATTGTCCCCACTGCAGCAAATAAGCTGGAATATGGAGTTTCAGGAAACAAACCAAAACAGAACAAAACAAAAAGAACCCACCCAAACAAGGAGGGGAAAAAACCCAAACCAAACAAAAAACCCCACCAACCAACCAGCCAAAAAACCCAAAACACTTCTATCTCCCAGCAATTTCAGCAAAAATATGTTGCAGCATGGCCCATTAGCCCCGGGAATTCAAACAGAATTCAGGCATCGGTGGCCTCTGCAACACCAGCCTTTTTCATCTGAAATGAATGTGAGAGTAGCAAGATGTAAAACTGGAAGTGTCACAGAAAATGTGGATACAAATGCAGAAAAAAGGAAGAACAAAAAAAGAAGGCAGTTACAGACCACAGAGGTCAATACGAAAATGGTGTGCTACTGGGATAGAAATAGAGATTTCTAAGTCATTGATAGGCAAGTTTTAATTATCTGGACATCTGTTGAGCATCAAACACAGCAAAAGGTGCATCACCAAGGGCTTTCTTTTAATTTAATAGAAAATTTAATAATGAGCAAGGCAAAAGAAATGTTCTTTGGGTTCTGACATGGAGTCAACGTGGAGGAAATGACAGGCAACGTGTGTAGCAGGATGAACAAGTGACTAGAGAAAACACACACTCCCTGGATTAAATGTGGGTTATGTTAAAAGAAATTCCATCACCAAAGCACTAGGCTCTGAAAAGGTCGTGGTCCAGAGATTAGAAGAAACAACACTCAGTGAAACTTCTTTCAGCATGAACTTTTTTGTGGAGTGTCTGGTTTTTCCCTCTTTCCCAGTTCAGTTCTCTACCTTTCAGTTTATCATTGTTTAATTTCCATCTAGTTTCTTCATTTTGTCCTTTTCTTCTTGTCAACTGTATTGATTTTCCTACACTGTGTTCACCTTATGTTTTAGGAGATTCTGAGCTCAGTGGAACTCGGCCAAAACAACTTATTAATAAAAATAGTTTAGCAAAGTAAAGTATTCTCAGTCTTTGAACTGAACCATTTTTGCTAAAATGTATGAGCTTTGATAAAGCTTTTACCAGGGATTATGTGGATTCAGGTCTCTTTGGTGTTATAAAAAGGGGCAGAGACAGACTGATCTGCACCATGTGTCATGGTGTGAATTTAAATCAGAGAGCTGCTGCTCTGAAAATATTCTTTGTTGGAGCAAAAGAGGGACTTAAACCTGGTTGTGCACAGCGGTGACATGGCCATATCTAGCAGGTGGATGTCGCACTGGCCCTGTGAAGGCAACCAGGTCTGAGAGCTGGTCACAGGCAATGCTGTGGCATCAGAACAACATCCCTCCTAGACTAGACCAGAATACTCCCTTCTTGCCTGGTGGTTTACATGAAGAAAGTGGTTTACAGAGCCATTTGGAAGAGTTACTTCCAATCTATGAAGTAAAACACGGTAGTGTCTCAAGGGAATTAAGCTCATATGATGACTTACTCTTGTCTTTGGTGACTCTTAATTTTTCTCCTTTTTTATCTCCTACGTTTCCTTCTTCCATAGGCTTCACTTCTCTTGTCCTTTCTCAGCCTGCCTGCCAAAACATAAGCAATAAAAATTATTAGTATGGGAGATTATGAGATTTCATGAAGGTAATGACCTAGAGGGCTGATGGATCAGTGTTAGTCACGTTTCCAAGAGACAGCTTCAGACTACTTGTAGGCTAAGGAAGGCAGTATTACATCAGTTGACATTTAGTTCTTTTTTTTTTTTCCTAATTATTTTTGCAGAGACCAGAAGCTTGTATTCTTTTTAATAGCAACTACTTCAAGCTAGCAAAGCTCAGTTATTCCACAGTGATCACATCATCACATCGCAAGGTTGGATATTTGGTGCCAGTTTACGAGGTTTGCAGCTCATGCTTACCATTCAAAAGGGAGACAGCAGTCTGGGCTGCATGAAGTAGGGGATTTGGGCCTGCAAAGGACCAGTTGGATCTCCAAAGTAAATTCAGAAACCTGTGCCTTTCACATGCTGTGAACACTTACAGAAGCTTGTCCCAATCAGTGGAGATGCTCTGTACTTTCCTAAGATCTCCTTTAAATCAGAACCCTGTGCATCGATGTTTTTACTACCATTTTCATTATTTCTTAGTACACCTTGCACTCTGCACATGACCATGCAGATCAAGCATCCCCCACCAAGGTAAACAGCAAATACACGCAAATTAATTTCTCCAAACAGGCAGATCTTGAATTGCAGTGCAGTGTCATATAACCCAGGAATGTGTCAGGAATATAACCAGGTCTCTGTACCTCAGGTTCTTCTGTGATACATAGCAGTATTTCCAGCAAAAGGCCAAAAACTGATCAGGAGAGTTCAAATCATTTATTTAAAATGAAAAATACAAACCAGAAAAAATCCTCACTCCCCACTAAAACCATAAACAAACAAAAACCCACCAAAAAAGAACAACTGATTTGGAAGATATTTTTCCATATTCACAACACAGAAAATACTGCATGTACCTGCTGCTCCACTGATCTCCTCAGCTCTAGCTGAACCCCTGCCACCTCTGAGAGCTAGCAGAGCTCAGGGACACGCACCCTGCCACCCTCACTGAGGAGCAGCAGGGGAGCTACAGGCATAGGGGAGCTTAGGCTCAAGGGTCAAAGCGACTTTGGGTTCAAAGAAGTGAGACTTTCACTGAGCTACCAAAAGGTTCCTCTTTAGCAGCGGCAGCATGGGCCAGTCCTGGGACAAGAAGCCCAAGACACATCTTCATCAAGAGATATCTGAGATAGGATCTAATGATTTTTCACTGTTTTGAAGCCCTTGTTAATCTTCAGTTAGTCTTACTTCAACTAACAGATTGAGTAGTTGTGTAAATAATCACCTTGCTCATCTAGCTCTGAGAAAAGACAACAAAGACTTGCCTGGAGATTAAGGGACCTCTGCGTGGCAATAGTGGAGTGACCCTGTGGCACCTGCTGCAGGCAGAAGGCTTTTTATCCTCATCTCATTAAATTGTTTATCTCTGACCCAAACCACCAGTTTGTCTTTCTTCTTCCCCTGGCCACTTCCCTGGCCTGAGGAAGCCAGGCTTTGCTCCAGTTTTCTAACAGGAGAAGTAAGGGCTGAATACTCAGAGATTGTTTATGACTTACGGTAATAGTTAGGGACTTGTGTGTCTTGTCCCAGTCCTTGGTGATTGGGTCAGAAAAGTATGTGGCCAGGGTTGACTGGGGAGCCTTACTTGGACAATTCCTTTGGGTCAGAAAAGACACAGGGCCTTGGAGCACCACGGCTGTTTATTTGTATTAGCGCTCCTGAAAGGAGCGCATCGCACACTGCGACTGCAGTGTGCTGGGTGCTGTACATCCCAGCCCATACAACATGGCTTTGCTAAAACAAAGGATGTAGATGGTGCAAGGAGACCCCTCCTGGGTAGCACAACCAGCCACAGTGAGCAGAGCAACAAGCCAGTGCTCTCATGATCAGCAGGGTGCTAGAGGGTGTATGGGGGCTGTCAGGGGACCTCTCCTAAAAGGAGATGGAAGTGCAGGACTGCGACAAGTGGACATAGAGAGCGCTGGTGCCTGGAGCAGCTTCAAGTCAAGATTAAGTGACACTAGGGAGGAAGGAGGGAGCCCATGGAGCCCTCATATGCATGCATGTGCACAAAATCAGACTGCTTATATACAATGAGAAAGAAAGATAATTCTGCTGGAGAGATTCAGTGGAGGAAATGGGGTCTAACAACTTAGGAGAGACAGAAACAGCCCAAGCTGATGGTTGAAGGAGGAAATCTTCCCCATTCAAGTCACTATCCTGTGTAACACATGACAAATGCCATTGTGGGCTTACCTCTCCCTGTAGTCTGAGCTTGGCGGATGGGTGCAAGGTCCATGACTGATGTTCTCATTAGCACTGTTCTACTATAGAAGGTACCTGTTGATTTCCTCTGGAATTCTCCCCCAGGCCATGTTTGAGCTGGTTACTTCCGAAGCCTCCTATTACAAGAGCCTGAATCTTTTGGTGTCTCACTTCATGGAGAATGAACGTCTGAAAAAAATCTTACACCCTTCTGAAGCACACATCCTCTTCTCCAATGTCCTGGATGTCATGGCTGTCAGTGAGCGGTAAGAACTGCTGCTGGGTTTTAGTCCAGCTGAATGGCATTGCTTTAACTAACCTCATTTGTAGAGGGATGGAGGAGCTGAGCAGGGGCAGTCTGTTACTCATTGTCTTTTCAAAGAGCCTGCGGATACATGTCTTGCTTTGAACCTCAAGGCCTTCTTCTGGGAATTCCCTGCAACAGACATGTCACAATTAATATGAGCACCGGGTTTCTCACCTAGCTTCCTTTTGGACCTCGAGCAGCGGGTGGAGGAGAACATTGTCATCTCGGATGTGTGCGATATTGTCTATCAGCATACAGTTAACCACTTCTCTGTGTACATCACCTACGTCTCCAACCAGACCTACCAGGAGAGAGCTTACAAGCAGCTTCTGTGAGTGCCGGTGCTTGATGCTAAATTATTGTGCAAAATTGCATGAGATTTCACTGTAATTTTGATATTTGTGAGAAAGGATTAGGTGGTACAGAAAAAGATTTCCCACGTCACTGATTTTTCACTGCACCTATAAAAAGAAAACACAATTAAAAGGGTTTATAGCCAGGGTGGGGTGATACAGTGTGCAGGTATCATACCAAGTAAATTCAGAGCCAGCGTTTTCCAGCTGTGGGAAATATTCATGATGTACACAGGGGCACACGCTTGTGAAATAGATGTATTTTTAAACTGCAAGTACAGGCAAGAGATTGAAAGCCCAAGAATATAATACAGATCTCTGATGAAAAGAACACCCAGTGTTTTTCCCAGGCTGCTCAGCAAGGCATTTGAGTTTCCCAAAGCTCTGATTTCTTTTGTGTTTCAGAGCAAAATTTTCTTTAAAAAAAAAAAAAAAGCTGTAAAAAAAAAAGGCATTTTCTTCACGTTCTAGTGTCACACGCACAGACACTACCTAGGCCTGAGGATAAAATGCAAAATATTTTTGCATTATTTTTCAAGCTTAGCAAGTCTTTTGATCCCATAGGAACTGTCTTTCCCCAGCTCAAAACAAAGAGTGCCCTCCAAGCTTGTCTTCAAGCAGGAGAATTGTTTTTTCTTTAGTTACAATGTCCTAGATTCTTTCAGGACAGCCCATTGCGCATACTGCACTGTATTTCCTGCCTGCAGCAGAAGCTAGTTCAGGGGAGTGTAACAAACCCTAATCCTATCCTTTCTCTGCTCCCCAGCTTTTGAGGAACAAAAACCCCCAACACTTCAAGGGGCCTCTGTTGTGCTTTCCCAACTGTTGACTCCAAAGGAAGGGTACCACTGGGTTTCCTTCAGTCAGAGGCAAGCAATATAGCAGCAGAATATGAACAGTTTGCCTAGACTCATTAGCTAAACACTCAGAAGTGAAGCAGCAATAGGCTAGATTAGATGAGCTTGAAAAGGACCTGTTGGAGATAGAGGTATTCCTAGATATGAATTTAGAAGGCAGCATTCTTTCTGTCTGCAGGAGAACAAAAAGCAAACTGAAAAGAATAGACTTGTTCCACAGGCTCCTAGCTGGCACAGCAATTCTACAGCACTTGGTTGAACTCAAAGTCTGAGGTGTGGTCACAGCTCACCCCATTTGGCAGTTCCTCAGGTACACTCAGGTTCATTCTGCTATGGCTCTGGAGAGCCACACCATCACATAAGTACCTGCTGCAGCAGGGGGAACCATGTACAGTGGCTTCTCCTAGATGCTGCAAGTCACACACAGTAAAGACAGGTTTTGCACAGTTAGCAATCTCTTCACATCCGCGCTGTTTCTGCTAGCCAGGACTCCAGCAGTGTAAGTCTTCCTCAGGTCCCTGCAGTTGCCAGGAAGCATTGACTTTGACTATGGCAGCTGGGACTTTTAGCTGCTCTGTACAGCTGTGTCCATGGCTCAGCAATACCCTCATCTGCTCCAAACCATCAGGGTACGGCCCATGCCCTTCTCAGGCCAGGTAATGATGTCCTTCCTCCAGCTAAGCAGCAGCCAGGAGTAGCAGTAGCCAAGCCTGAACTGTTTAGTGGCTTGTCTTGTTCTTATGGCTGAGCAAATTTCACCTTGTCACAGAGTTCCAACTGTGTAAAAATGTATAATTATGCCTCTGACTCATCTACTTGGACACACACCCCATTCACACGCACCTACGCACACAGTGCATGCTGCTGAGCTAGATGTGCTAACACATGTGAACACTACCATGGCTTCTACATTAAAAGTCTATTTTTTTCCCTCCCCCAACACTATAAATAACTCTGGATTTAAACTAAAGTACACCTAGAAGCATTGAGTCCCCTCTTCTCTCCCACTGGAGAGGCCAGGCAGATGCTGAGTATGGGACTAACCTGCTTTTGGGTCACCAGCCACATACCAGAGGCTCAGGCAGAGGAGCACTCAAAGCCCTCACACCTTTGTTCTCTCTCCTTTCAGGCAGGACAAGCCAGCTTTCCGAGAAGTGATCTCACAGCTGGAGCTGGATCCTAAGTGCAAAGGCCTGTCCTTTTCTTCCTTCCTTATTCTGCCGTTTCAAAGGATCACTCGGCTCAAACTGCTGGTGCAGGTAGAGATTTGTGCTCTTCTCTCTCTTCTGAGGGTCTTCTGGATCACTCCATTTTTCTTTTCAGCAGTTGTAAATGAGGCTTAGATACAGCCACAATCAAACTTAGAGATGGGTGAAGCCTTTCCACAGAATTAGACATTATAAACCACTATGGAAAAGATTTATTCACTCAGAGACCATCCCCAAGCTAGTGTTGAATTTGCCACATAGCTTTTACTGAGCAAGAGTTGTCTGTTAGTGCCAGCTCCATCTATTTTTCTTTTCTTTTTTATATATATAAAATAGGATTCTGCCTGCTGTATTTCTTTTAGATATAAGGTCAGATGGGACCAGGTTTTAATGAGAAAGAGGAACAAAGAGGTGAGAGTCACTGTACTCTGTCACCTACCCTGTAATGAGGCTGATGGCCAGAAATAACTCAGAGGCTAGTTTGACAGTTTCTGTGCTGTCAAATTGGGATCAGAATTAACACAGCTTTTCCTCCCCTGCAGAATATTTTGAAGAAAGTAGAAGAGAAGTCTGACAGGGAAAACACTGCCCTGGATGCACATAAAGAGCTGGAAACAGTAAGTCTGAATGAGCTAAACTGAAGGCCATTAAGATGAAACCATCATGTTCATTCCTCCCACCTTCCCCTCCATAAAAAAAGACATATAAACCACATTAGCTCCTGAAGCTGTCTCTTTAAATCCTATCACTGTGTTTCAGGAGTAATATTTTTTTCCTGAAGCCTTTCTTGTTCTCAAAGATAGACTAATCCAGCAGCACTCAGATGTCAGTGACAAGGAGTCCTTTGCTAACAACAGATGTGTATGTTTCTGCTGTAGGAAAGGGCAGAGAGAATGTTTTCCCTTGGAGAATTCAAGATTACAAATTGTTTTTTGCAGATAGTTGAAGGTGATGGATCTCACTAAGGGATGTAATTAGCCGCATCAGGCAACAGAGCACAACTGTGTCAGGCTTCCTCCAATGCAGCATGCTTCTTCCTCTGACCTAGAATAACAATTTCTTAATGAAGTACTCAAGCCTGCTTTTAGCCCTCTTCCCTGAAGCTGGTAGGTAGCTGTTCGGTTGGGCTAGTTACTGCTGCACACGAAACAGGAAAGCATTGGGATGTTTTCCATCTGACACGGTCAAACAGGGCAATCCCACCTCCAAGCTACATAACTCAATGGTCTCTGCGTGTAGATGGCAGCCACATGGAACAGTGTTTGAACCCTTCTTCATCAGAAGCTTGGGACATCTCAAGTCCTGCAGTTCAGTAGAAGTATTTGAAGTTAAAAACTGTGCTAGAATATCAACCTGAGGATACAGTCATAGCTTCTGACTGAAAAACAGGCTCCTGGATTTCCCTGGATTAGTGTAGGAAGCGTACACTTTGGAGATCGCTAGGGAGAAAGACAGAGACCTTTACAATGAACAGTATTCTGCATTAAGTTAGTGTTTGCAGAATCCCTCTTGCATCTGGTAGCAATGGTTTTTATCCATTGGTCAGAAGCCTGAGGAAAGCTGTTCCTGAAACATGCAGGTAACTACAACTGCTGATGGAAAAATGCTCTTTCTAGATTCAGCTGCTGCTGACTCACCTGATCAGTTTCTTAACTGCCTTTGCATGGTTACTTATCTGTAAGTGTTGGAAGTTTAGATGCCTAAAGTCCAGCTAAGTACAGGCATTACAGCAGAGGTCATCTGGTGCTTATTTTCCCTGTATGTATCCCTATTCAAGAGGGAAGAGCTGATCACAGTTTAAATTGCTGATATTCTGGTGGGTTTTGAGTAGCAGAAACAGAGCACAAAGTGGAACTTGTTCTCCAATGTGATTTTTCTACCTAGCCAGTTCTCAAGAGAATTGCTCCTTATGAAACAGGCAGTGGCATCTAGGTTAAGGTCCCTGCAATAGGGTAGTGCTCGCACGTTGGTTGTGGGTTTTCAGTTAAAATTTGTGCTTAGAACACAGCTGGGCTCTGTATGATGAATGTCTCTTTTGCTGGGACATTTCATAGCCTTGGCACCTGGTGCTGCTTGGCAGAACCACAGCATTTGCATCTTTGAAATTAAGATCTTTGGCTTCATTTTCTTCTTGAAGAAGATACTGTGTGTGTTCAAGTGTTGGGAACAAGGAAGATGAGATACATGGCATGTCAGGATCTGGAAAAGGTGATATACCCTGTGCTGGGCAACACGGACTATTGCTTAATACTTTCTGTTTCAGTAACCGAATGCAGCCATCTAACATGTCCTCTGATAGCCAGCCAGCTATAACACCATCTGCGTATTTGGCGAGGGGTTTTCTTTATTGTTGTTTTTGTTTGTTTTCCACTCCTTTTTTCATGCAAATACAGTGCTGACAGAAGAGTTTGGCTGGGTCAGTTCCTGTTACAGCAGGGCACTTACCCTGTCACAGTCAGGCCTTTCTGTGCTGTCCATCGTTGCTTACCAGTGAAGGCAAATCTTTGTACACTCTTTATCCCAGGTGGTGAAAGCATGTAATGAAGGTGTCAGAAAGATGAGCCGAACAGAGCAGATGATCAGCATCCAGAAGAAACTGGAATTCAAGATCAAGGTATAAACACCCTTTGCAGAGAAGCAAACCAATACCCTCCAACTGTTGTGTGGACATACATGGCAGTAGTAGCCTAGTTGCCCTTATTTCAGTGTGTGTTCAGTGGTAGCCTGGTCCACACTGTCCCAACTCCAAAGCCTTTGAAGGGAATGCTGCTGCATCCATCTGTGTGATCTCAGTGCACACATGCTGCAGAGGTCAGGGGCAGCACTGAGGCCAATGTGTTGTGCCCCTATGCAGATTTGACATGCTGTCATCAAACCATCCGAGCACAGTGGGTGCCCCCTGCTCCAGCACTCCGTTCTGGCTCTTCCCTCTCACCTCCCTTCAAAATGCAGGTCAACTCTGAGCTATTATTTCACATTACAAATTACATTGAAGGAAGATGAAAGCTTACAAAGCAAAACACTTTAAAGCTGGAAAACACCAAAATAAAGACTGCCCTGCCATTTTAATTCATCCATGCATTTATGCACTATGTACAGTCTCTAATTACCTGCTGATGATTCATTTTGGCTCCACTCAGGGAATGACCGAGTCCATATTTAGGGGTGTCTGACCATGTCTCATTCATGCCATGAAACTCCAGTGCTGAGTATAGAGTTGCCAATTCTCTTCTCGAGCACTATGGAGATGCTTTGCAGATCCATCTGCTTCACAAACTTTAAGGAGCATATTTAGCTTCCCAGCAACCTTTTCATGTACCTGAACAACCGAAGCAAAACCAACAAAACAGAATAAAGCAAGACCATTTGTTTGGAAAGCTGCACTGGGTGAACAAGAATTTGTTTTTCCACTCAGGGCTAGACCACAGTCCACAAGACAGCTCTAGACTGGGATAGTTACAAGGCTGCCCTCATCTCCTGTAAAGCTGAGGCTGTAATGACAGGCTTGAGCTGGTTCATCCCTGGAGTAGCTCTGCCTTAGGAACCCTTCTCCACTGGTGAAAGGAGTGCAAGAATGCAGAAAGTCAGACTGTGCCACCGTGCACATAAGAGCACAAGGACGGAGTGAAGATGGAAACAGCAGCAGTTACATAGATAATTCCCAGTATTTCAGTCATTTGACTGCAAGTGTAGTGTTCTTCTAATGTAAGATGTGCTGGACTTCTTATTTTTAGCACAGTGTGTGCCAAAACTCTAGCGGAAGTGCTGTTGCAGCTGCATGGACAGTATCTCCTCCTAGCTGGAACAGACCCAGCGAGTAAGGACCCGATTAACCTAGGGGGTTTTGTAGCCGAAAGGCAATACGCATGTATTGCCAGTATGTACAATAGATGTCTGTAAAAGCTCAGTCCATGTGATGACACAGGGGATGTCCCAGAGACAGATCAGCATGTGCAGGTCCTGGTGTTTAAATCCAGCACTTGGCACTCCAGCATTGCTGTCCTTTCGTGTTTGTTCACTTTCAGGCTCCTGCCATGCCCCTGAGTTTTGTTACGCTCTCAGCTAGGCTGCGGTGTGAATGACAGAGCGCACTGCCCTCTCTGTGCAGCTCTGCTCCACCTTCTGCAGTGCAAGCTGTGGTGATGGGAGCTCACCACCCTTCCTTTTGCATCTCTTGCTTTTCAGCATGTTGACCACATAAACCCACTGGGTTTTGCTGTTCTCCTGATCTTTGCCATCCTTTCCTCACTTCCAGTCTGTGCCCATCATCTCTCACTCCCGCTGGCTGCTGAAGCAGGGGGAACTGCAGCAAATGAATGGTCCAAAGACATCACGAACACTTCGCACCAAGAAACTCTTCAGAGAAATCTACTTGTTCCTTTTCAATGACCTGCTGGTAATCTGCCGGCAAATTCCTGGGTGAGTACACAATTTGGGAAGTACACAGGGCACTTCCTTATTCCTGTTTGCCCATGGGTTTATCTAAGCTGTGATGCTGTGTCCCTGTCCTGTTCCCCAAGTACAGGGAGGCATCCTGGCCTGACCTGTACATCTCCCTCCAGCAGTTTCCTTGGTTTTGAGTACAGTTGACTCCTCATGGGTCAGCTCTCTCCAACCAAAAACTGATGGCAAAACCACCTTGGATTCCAGGTTTCCCAGCAGGATAAGCGAACAGGTATCCACCAGTTTCTGCCGCAACAAGTCACAGCTGGTGGGCTGGCCCAGGAGGCCCGTCTTCCTGTCAAGAAGTGATTTTTGACTCATCACTGTCTCAAGAACAGCTCAGATTTAGTCAGTTAAACGTCTAAGAAAGCAGTCTAGAGAACATGAGCAGCAGGGAGGGGTATACATTTAAGCCTGAAGCTAACAGTTCTATTTGACAGGCTGTAACCTGCCCCAGGAGGAGGAAAACATCATTGTACTCAGGACTAGGTCTTGTTTCACTCTGGTGAAACAGAGCCGCACAGATGGCTCCAGAGAACAGCGTGTTCTTTGTTGCACTGACCAGACTCACCGGTAGGGAGCATCTTGCCAGTCCAATGTTTCTAATAAACATGTCGCCGCAGTGTCTGATGCCTGGAAATATTTTGCTTCTGTGGCAGCCTGTATCCAGAGAACACAGAGGCATTTCACAAAGAGGAATGAAGTAAGCCTCACAGTCCCCTTTGAGGGAGCACTGTCTGCATTTTGTACATAGGGAGCTCAGAGCAAGCATTTGGCCATAGGAGATGCCTAAGGCAGAACAAGAAGAGGGTTTCTTGCTTTGCAGAGGGTTTTCATAGCTGCACACGTCTTCCCGCACCAGGACATCATTTTGCTCTTGCCATGAAGTGGTTCCTGGTCCGTGTCCTCAGTGCAGTTCTGGGTGGCTGAAGCCAAAGTCCCCTGAGATAACTGCAGTTTTTCCTCATCTCCTCTCTATCCTCTCCCAGGGACAAGTACCAAGTGTTTGACTCTGCTCCTCGGGGACTCCTTCGGGTAGAGGAGTTAGAAGACCAGGGGCAGAGTTTGGCCAACGTCTTCATCTTGAGGCTGCTGGAGAACGCAGATGACCGGGAGGCGAGCTACATGCTGAAGGCATCATCCCAGTGAGTACAACAGTCACCCACTCACCAGAGCTCAGGAATGCCCTCTCTTTACACCCACGCATGGGCAGCACCCTGTGGCACAGGGAGCAGCTCTCCACACTTACCAGGGTCAGGCAGGCAGAGATCCCACTGCTGGCCCTACAAACCTCTCTGTCCAACATGGCTCCCCTAAGGCTACCTTTGACCTCTCCCGCTGACAGGCACTAGTCAACCAGGCATGTTTCCCTCCTGTACAATGTATTTGTAGCAACCAGCGTGGAGGATGGATGGGTACTTTGCATTGTGGGACAGAGGTCAGAAACCGGCCCTGGCACAGGAGCTCAATGGATTTATAGACCACTTCATATTCACAAAGTAAAAGCAAGCATACATCCGTATGCTGTACACTCCAAAGATCAAGGCCGTACTCAGTCAGCACTATGAAGTGGGTCCTGCTTGTAAGGCAAAGGTGGGAGAAACGGCTGCTTCCTCAGCACCTTCCACAGCCGATGCTGATCTTGCAGCCCTTCTGCTGCGCGGGGCCTCCTTGTCTCCTTGGATACAGTATTTCTTGGCTCACTGATTTTACACTTCAGGTTCCAACAAGCTCAGACTGGGCAAATGATTCAGCTGCACCAACACAAGCCTTACCTTTGACTCAAGCCTTAGCAGCCCTGCATTTTCCAGGCACAGCATCTATGCCATTATAGGTGCACATGTACTACCAGCTAAACAGCTACTAGAGATGATGTGCACTAAAAACTTGGTGTTACTTTGCTATCAGTTGTTCAACATCCATATTGCTTAATGAATGCCAGGCCCAGCCAGGACCACATCCTGCTACAGCCCAGGGCTGCACCCTGACACCCCAGCACAGTGTAGCACCAGCATCAGGAAGACAACCCCCTAGTACAGTGAGTGAGCAACTGCACCTTCTCCCCAGGCATGTGACTGCAGCTTTGCTATACTGAAAATAGAGATGTCAGTCATGTTATGGAGGGCAAGCGCACATGTGACGTCTGTGAGACTTCGCTGTGCAGGGAACGATAAACCAGGCCAGGGTTTGCCCCAGCCCAGGGGAGGCAATGGCACTTCTGTGCTTCTGCATCCTGTCCCATCTTCTTGATGGCCGCAGTGAGTATGTGACCCAGCACATATGGTGACCTGCATGGAGGCAGCTTGCAGCTGATGTCCTGGGTGGGCTGTACAGTGCATTTGGACACAGCTAGTCACAAGGGCAGGACTGGAGCACAGGCTGAGAGGAACCAGAGGCTGCAGGCAGGATCCAAATAGCCCTGCAAGGAACTGTGTGCAAGGCCAGCCTGCAGATAGCGCCACAAGCACAGCAAGACACTTGGTTTGATCTCTAGGTGCCAATCCCTCAGGGCACAGCACCCTCATCCTGCACGTCTCCATGGCATGAGGGGCTGCACTTGACCTGCAGGTGTCCTCTCTGGTCCTTGGCATTGCCCTTCAGCCCTGAAGCACGAGGTATTCCCAACCCTGCAGATCAGCCTGCCAGTGCTTGTCCTTCACATCTCCCTTATAGGCCTCTCTCCTCCCAGAAGACACTTTTGTGGCTTTAGATGTGTGTCAAGTTCAGGCTTTAGAACTCGCATCAGAGAAGGTACAAAGCTCTGGCTCCCGCAGGGCTGGGAGCATTGCTGGTTCTCCAAGCAGGAGCTGCAGCCTGTGGAGATGAGCTGCCTGTTTCCAAGCAGGACTGAGGGAGCTCCAGGCATGGGGCTTCTCCAGCACTGTGGATCTTCCCCCCCCTCCTGCTGCAGGCCCGGGTTTTGCATAGCAGCATGCTGAATATGCTCACATGGGTCTGTGTCTCATCTGCTGCCAGCTGAGCGGTACCCTTGGTGTGCTGCAGCATTTGCAAGTGAATTCATCAGTTCTGTCCTTTAAATGTTCCCACACAGCAGCTCCAAGCATAAATGAACCTCTAACTGCTTCTCTGCAGGAAGAGCTGCTCCTATTGACCAAGCCCTGGTTAGAGCCCAGAGGATGCCAGGCCTCCCCACCCTGCTGCTGGCTCTCTGAAGCCAGGCTGCTCCCCAAAGTGGGATCTTCCTGTTCTGGGGACAGCCAGCAGAGCCCAGGGCACGGGATGTGTGACATCCCAACCACTGCGTGTAGAAGAGTGGGCCTCAGCGTTGCCTGGGAGTCAAGGACCCTAGGGTGGGGAAGGCAGGAACTGGCCATGAAAGAAACAATTTAGGAGCCCAGGGCTGGCTGGGCAGGAGAGCTGGGTCCCTATGACTGTCCCATACTCACAGATTTGGTTTGTCATCCCTATGCAGGAGTGAGATGAAGCGCTGGATGATCTCACTGGCCCCGAACCGCAGAACCAAGTTTGTTTCATTTACATCCAGACTTGTTGGTAAGAGACACAGCATGGGAGCCACATGCTCTTCACCCCTACACCAGGGCACCTTATTCTGCCTTCATCTCAATCCAACCCCAGGCTTGGGGCCTCTGCTGAAGCTGGACTGTCCCTGGCACCCCTTGTGTTCCCACCGCCCACAGCCACTTGTCTGTGGGCCTGGCCCTGACCTTGCACCCCTCCAACCCAGGCTGGGCTGCACCAGCGCTCTCCCTCCCACCCAAGCTACTCAAGGGTGGCACTGAAGTGATGATGCGCACCCAGCTCCTTTCCCCTCAGAGGTGCTTCCCTGGTCCCTGTGACTGGGGCACCCCTTGTCTTCCACGGGGTTTCTTACCACATCAGAGGGACCATTCGCAGAGTTCATGGTCCTACAGCAGAATCCATCCCATTCCATCCCTCACTCTTGCCCTGTTCCTGGCAGACTGCCCACAGATCCAGTGTGTCCACCCGTACGTGGCCCAGCAGCCAGATGAGCTGTCCTTGGAACTGGCTGATGTCCTCAACATCCTGGACAAGACAGATGATGGTATGAGGGACAGGATGGGGGCGTCTGCGGGAGGGTGGGCTTTGCCCTTGGCAGACAGGAGGGGCCAGGCAGGGAGAGACCCATCATTGGCATCACAGCTGAGGAAGCTCAGAGCAGGAGGGGGGAGCTACTGCCTCCTTCTGACACTCAGCAAATCCAGGTAGTGCTGGCACAGTCACCCTGGCACTGGCTGTCAGACATGGCAGGGCTGACACAGATGTAACCCAGACCTGTTCTTACCTTGATGATGCTTCACAGCCACCTGGTCCTGGTCCCTGGGGCACACTTGTAGCTGGTGGACTCAAGTCACACTGGATGTGTGCTGGGTACCACTCCTGCAGCACGAGGGGCAGCCAGGAGCACACAGTAGCAGCAGTGCCTGCTTTGTGCTGGCATCCCTTGAGCTAGCTGTCCACACAGTGCTGCTCAGGCAAGCGGGCTTCCTTGACCAAATTGACAAACTGGGGTCACTCCAGCACAGGCCTCCGAGCAGCTTCCAGAAAGCACTGCCAGCTGTATAGGCTCTTCCCAGCACCACTGTCCCAGCATAGGAACAAGGACCACTCATTTATACCTGTCTCTGTCTCTGCTCAGGCTGGATATTTGGAGAGCGTCTTCACGACCAGGAGAGGGGCTGGTTCCCCAGTTCTATGGGGGAGGAGATCCTGAACCCCAAAATCCGAGCCCAGAACTTGAAGGAGTGTTTCCGGGTGCACAAGTCGGATGACAGCCAGCGGAGAAAACTGGGCAGCAGGAACCGCCAATGACCACTGGCATCCCTGAACATCTGCAGCACCTCTGGGAGAGGGGCAAAGGACAGAAGCACAACTGGAAGGATATGGTGATGGTGTGGTGGGCCATGGTGCAGGACCTGTTGTGCCAGAGCAGGCACATGCACCCATGAACAGAGAGACTGCACGTCCTGGGCTCCCTGCAGCACTGATGCTTCCCTAGAGATCTATGTTCTGAACTGGCTTGGATAACCCTTTCCCAGGCATTCTGTACAGCTGCAGAGAGCACAAGCCAAGCTGACACAGCCCAAAGGTGCCGGGTGGCTGATCCCCATTCCCTGCACACATGCTAGCTGGGGCTGGCTCGGGCTGCCTGGGAAAGGCACATGGCCACAAGCATAAAAAAGCATTAATGTTGCCCAGTTTGAGCACTTGCAGCTCATCACGACTTATAGTTTGGGTCGCTCCTAAAACACCATCTTACAGGGATAAAGCTGAAGCAGAAGAGCTGTCTCACCACCTCTATACAGCCCATCAGCACCGGGCTGGGGCAAGCCCCAGTAACTCCAGCAGTCCTGCTTGTGGAGCCACTTGGGCCAATTCCCATGGGCAGACCCCCAATCTGCTTCAGTTAGATGCTCCACATCCAGCCCTGCTCCACCAGCAGCACAACCTCACCAGCCCTGACCCACACCTCTGCCTGCCAAATGGCCTCAGAGCACATCAAGGCCCTGCCCATGGCTCAGCCCCTCCACAGGGTCCTGGCACCACATCCTTTCCTGGTTGATCCGGCACTTGTGGTCTCTGTGGTCACTGCTACTTCTCTGCTGCAGAGGCACAGGGCAGGGTAGCCGTGCCAGCGCTTCCCCGCACACCACCATGGGAGCACCAGCAGCAGGCGAGTGACCTTACCCCAGGAGCTGCTGTCCCACACGCTGTGGGAGGCCCAGCGATTGCTGCCTGCATGCTTGTAACCCACGGCGCGCCGCTGCCTGCACAGGCAGAGCACACCATCTCCCTGTACAGCCACACCTCCATGTATATACATCAACCCCGTCGCGAGGCTGCGCAGAGCCAGGCAGCACTCCTTCCTTGCATGAAGCCCAGGGCATTGCACTGAGACCAACCAGGGGACAGACTCACGGCAGCCACCTGTTGTCCAACAGCCTCGCTATGAACAGTCCCACACGTGGCCACAGCAGCGGGCCCCTTGGCTACAGGCTGGTCCTGAGCTGCGGCCAGCATGCATCAGGGAAATGGATTGTTCGGCATCTTTCTGTACCACTGCAAAGGAGTCTTGCAGGTGCCATGACCTGCAGTGCCCCACGCTCCTGCAGCGCCACGGCTGTGCTCCAGAAGGGGACGGAGAAGAGCTGCCTGCCAACAGAGCCATGCACAGAGCAGAGCCATGGGGATGGCAGCTTGGAAAAGCAGCAGGGACCAGGGAGTTGGTTCTGGCTGGGGCTGGTCTTTGGGCCACCCAGGACCAGGTTACACATGGGGTGTGCAGCCAGAGCCAGGTGAGGGAGGGCTGGGGCTATCACCATGGTCCTGGGATGGGCAGCTCTGCACTGGGCGAGTGGCTGCAGCCCTGCTGGGACCATAGCAGCAAAGGGAGAATGAAGGCATCCCTCCTCGTGCCCAGGTCAGTGGCACCAGGTCAGCAGTGACAGCAGGGCTGTGCTTGCCTATAGCACCCCAGGGAGAGGGCCACAGGCCCCCTGCTGACGCCCAGCCCAGAGGTGGGGACCAGGAAGGGGCCGCAGAATCTAACCTGGTGCACTGGGCTTATTTAATGGGGACCCCCCAAATTAGACATGCCCCCCCCCCCCCCCCCACACACACATATTCCCCTCTAACAGCACCCTACAGTCAGCTTTTGAGTACAACCAAGGGTCCAGACCTTACAGCAACCACAAATTCTCTAATGCAAAACCCAGAGGAGCTCCAGCTCCAGGAAATCCTTAAAATGACCTGAGAAGTTGCCACACAGCAGATGGTACAGCTCCACAGCCCAGCAGCCAGCACAACCCAGGCACTGCTGCCCCAGTGCCTGCCTGGGGTGTTTCTCCTAACACAGAAATGCTCCCTTACCCATCAGAACAGCTATTTCACCAGGGGAGGGGCTGACCCAGGTTTCCTGGTACTGGGATGCTGGTTCCTCACTGCATTTCTCCAGGGAACAAGGGCTCAGGGCTGCCATGCACCATGCCATGACCCACGACCAGACCCTGGGACTTGCTCTGCCCCCCTCTTACTCTGTTGTGACCTTTTAGGACCCCAAACCATAGGCACAGGCTGTGTGTTTTCAGGCACCGAGTGGCATCCAGTGTTACCTCCTCAGATCCAGCCCTGCACGCCTCCGTTTCCGTGGTCTCAAGTGTTGTACAGGGCCAGGCCTGGGGCCCACATGCACGGGCTGAAGCCCCCCCCGGCCCTGCTGGGCTGCCTCAGCGACCTGACGGGAACTTCTTGTTGTCTTGTTTTCCTGTGTGATGAAATGTACCTGAGCGAGCCAGCGCCAAAGCCACACGTGTGCGTCTCCTTCCTCCCCAGACTCCTCCAGTGCAACTGGTGGGGGGCAATGGGCCCCAACACAGGGGGTGGGAGTGGGGCTGAATGTGAACATGGGGTCAGGTGAGGCAAGGGAAGTATGAGGGTGGTCTACACCAAATGAACAGCCCTTCCCAAGGACACCTGCACAAGATGATGCCCAACATCGTTACCAACAACCAAGAGAGATGGTGCCAGCTCGGAGCCACTCACTCACTGCTGCAGGGACCCCCCGACTGCTGTGGTCAAGCCTGCCAGGTCTGTGTGCACCCCAAGGATCCACATGCCAAGAGCACAGCACACTAGGGCAGCTCTGCTGCCCAGTGCAGAAGCTAGAGTGCCCTTTGCAACATCCATGGCAGCGTGTCTCCCCAGGGAACCCCAGGCAGATGGGCAGCAGGAGCAGCCAAGGGCTGGTGTGTTACAGAGAAACCTTTTATTGAGTTCAGGAGGCAGAGAACTTTCTCAGCGTGATGATGACCAAGGCCACAAGCACAGAGGTGCCCAGGAGGGAGGCGATGACAATGGCACCAATAGCTCCAGGTCCCAGTGACCCTGCAGGGACAGAGAACAAGATTGTATGAGATCAGCATAGCCATTGGGTCCCAGGCGGGAAGGGCTAAGGGGGAATCAGCCCCACACCAGCATGTCCCTGGCCATGGGGTCACACTCCCAAGCCCCATGCACTGCCCATGATGGCCCTGTTCCCATGTCCCAGTGCAGCTGAGGCCCAATCCTGTGCCCCAGAGGCATTAAGCCCTTGGGCAGGTGGCTGGAGCCACCCACTGCTCCTTACCCAGTGACCAAGACAGCCATAACACAGCAGGTCTTTGGCACTCAGCTTTCCTGCTAACACTCACAGCAAGAGCTGCTTTGCTCAAAGCACATTACAACAGGTGTTTGCTGTAGATCAGGAGCCAGGCAAGGTGCTCACACTCCCTATTTAGAGAGTTTGAGGCATATTCTTGCCTATTCACCCCCCTCCCCAGCAGTGGTCAGGCCACCTCAGGATTCTCAACCCCCTCTTGGGAGGCAACAGGACCATAAAGAGCAACTGCAGAGCGAGGACATCCTCTCGTGATCCCCAGAGCGCCCATGGTGCCACCATGTACCATTCCCAGCATCCAGCCGGTGCAGGTGAGTGGTGTCCTCAGGCTCCAGCTCAGACGTGTACACGGGGAAGGCTGTGGCATCCGAGAGCCGGGCTGTGGTGGTGTCCATGGGGCCAGCTCCAGAGGGCAGCTCAGGAGGCTCGTTCCAGAGGGTGGGTACTGGGCCCTGCAGGTGCTCTGCTGAGAAACAAGCGCCCATGGTCACCCTGCTGCGGATGCAGGGTGACCCGAGGGCTTAAGGAGGCTGCAGAAAACTAACAACCAGAGCAGCTGAAGGCAGTGCCTGTGCCCCAGGGTGCAACCCCTCTACCACAGGCTCTGGAAGCCTCCTGGTGTACACACAGCACACATGGGACAACAGGGAACTCCCCGCAGCCTCTGCTCGTGCACCAGCATCCACAGCCAGTCTGTGGATGCCCATGGGACTGGGCTGACATATTCCTGCAACCTGGACACATGCTGGCAAAACCCACATCATGTCAGGGCCCTTCTGTGCTGCACCACTGGCCTGTGCAGTGCAGGGTGCCAGAGGTGCTGGCAGGGAGCAGGACACAGCCTCCCCAGGCAGGAGCCCCACTTCCCTCTGCCCACCTCCATGCCATGCTGGGGAGATGAAAGCCAGGCCGGGCTCTGTTTGATGTTACCATTTACCTCCTGTTATTCGTTCCCCTGTGGGGTCAGGGACCAAAGCAGAGAGCCCTGTCTGTGTGTGTGTGGCTAAGCTGAGTGCTCCCTGTCAATGCCTGGCTTGTTCAGGTGGGCCCCGGCAGGAACAGGAGAAATTCCACAGCTCCCTGCCGAAACCACTGGGAATGTTGCACTGGGATGGGGAAAAAAACTGGGGAGGAGGGAAACAAACAGCATCCAGCACCAGAGCCCATTTGAACTGACAGGGTGGGTATCAGGCTGGGAAAGGGCATCAGAGGAGTCAGAGCAAGCAGCCTGGGTTCTCTGGGGCAAGGCACAGGGGTATGCTGGGCATCCCCGCTTCAGCATGGTGCCTCTTGGTGAACCAGGGGCACTCAAAGCCTTGTCTCAGGCTCTCCCTGGCCCCCAAGGAAGGTGGCACCAGCGCACCTTGGCAGCACCAGCCAGAGCTTTAAGAATGTGGAACCCTCCTTGCCTCCCGCTGGCAGCTGGCACCTTATGGGAGGAGAGTGAACTGAAGAATCAATGCTAAGGGTTCCACTACACTTGATTCTCCCATGGGAGCCCTGCATCAGAAGGAACAGGAACACCAGCACCAGAACACTCACCTTTGCTGCCGGGAGAAACCCACCAGTACAACTTACTGCAGGGCTTACATCAGAGCAGCTCCCACCATCCCCAAAGCTATCCCAAGCTGTCTGCAGACTCAGGAACATGACAGGGCTCCAGACTAGCTGTGGAAAGGCCTTTCTACAGCCATAAAAAAGTGGCAGGATTTTCAGTGAGACAGCTGCTAGGTTTAACCCTGGCCCAACAAGCAGTGAGAGACAAACAAGACCCCAGTTTGAGACCTGTTCCTGGTCGGCATGCTGTGGCTGGCTGACCCAGCACGTGGCAGTAGCAGCAAGTACCATGTCCTCAATGTGCTTGGTACATCTGTGGTCACTGTGTGCATCAGAGCTGGCATCTTGGGTTCTTGCTACAAACTCACAAGAGACCTGTGGCTCCATGAGGGCTCCCCAGCAAAACCCGAGCCCTTGGCAGGGCCCTTCTCAGCCTGTCCTGCAAAACTAATCAGATGCTGGAGACTCGCATCCCATCCAGAGGCTCTTCTAGAAAGTACCAATTTCCAGTGGACTTCACTTCTATAAATCCTGCGGTTTGGATACATCTGGAGTCCTGCATCCAGATCACGGGCCCCCAACACAAGAGAGACATGGAGGTGTTGGAGCAAATCCAGCAAAGGCTATGGAGATGCTGTGAGGGCTGGAGCAGCTCTGCTCTGGAGACAGGCTGAGAGCTGGGATTGTTCAGCCTGGAGAAGAGACCTTACAGCAGGTTCCATTGCCTAAAGGGACTACGAGAAACCTGGAGAGGGGCTTTGAACAAAGGCAGGTAGTGACAGAACAAGGGGAATGGCTTTAACCTGACAGAGGGAAGACTGAGATGAGACATTAGGAAGAAGTTTTTTACTATAAGGGTAGTGAGATACCAAGCAGGTTGCCCAAGGAAGCTGGACAGGGCTTTAAGCAACCTAATCTAATGGAAGGTGTTCCTGGCCTGTGGCAAGATTTGAAACTGGATGATTTTTAAGGTCCCTTCCAACCCAAACCATTCTGTGAAGTCTAGAACTGAGTAGGTAAATGTCCTTAAAACAACAGGGAAAGAAACCAAGGAGAGCTGGGGCTATTTAGTTCACAGCAGTGGCTTTAGGAAGCTGCTGGTTTAGGCACAAATCAAATGCATGTAATGCCTGTGAAGCCCTGGTTCCAGGCTGCTTTCACAAGCAGAGCAACTCCACACAGAAGATCCACCCTCCAGCTACAACCTTCCTGACTGTGTCAACACCACCAAGGCCAGCACCAACACTGCAGCCGTTCCTAGCTGGCAAGAGAACACCATGCTGGGAGGATGTCCTTGCACTTCCCAAGAATGTTTTTCTCCCCAAAGCCAAGAGAGCTGAGTGAACCCTCACATTAACTGGGGGGAAATGTTAGCTCAGATCATCTATAACAGATGCAGGCACCATTCAGGGAGGCTGTAGGATGTGAACAGGGTCTTCCCAACTCCCCATTCTCAACTGGACAAGGAGGGAACGCTACCCTTTCCAACCACAGTGCAAAGGCTCTCTTTCTAACCAGACCCACAGGTCCTGGAAAGTTTCCCTGTCCCCTGTGCATCCAATTCCTAAAAATTTATTGCAGCTCTCTCTAAGCAGGGCACAGAGCTTATGTTTGATAGCTGAGTAAACAGTCTAATTTGTTTATGATCTCAGTGATTTTTAAGACCTGTACAGAGTCCTGGATGGCTTCTGGACATGTATTTTGCTAATTCCCCTCATCTGATTAAAACACGCTTTCAGTTCACCCACACAGAAGGGGCAGAGTGTGCTAAACATACGTTTTCTGTCCCAAGTCCTTGTGGTTTTACCTTAACGGCACTTCAACCAAGGCAAACACAACTCCTTTCAGTCACTCTAGTGCCTCACCAACAGAGTTGTCAGCAGAAGCAGCAGAGTCGTGCACACACATAAAGTAAGATACTTGCATCTGAACATCAGCAAGAGCCAGGGCTTGCTGCTGGGTCTCCTCTTTAGTTCCTGCACCTCAATGCTACCAGTCCCTCCAGAGAAAGCTGCTGCAGACCAGGAGAGTCTGTTTGGAACCAGTGCTTTGCTTTCCAAGACTCACCTTTGATTTTCCCTCCTAAATAACAGCTTGTGCCCTCACATACCTCCCCATTTGAGAGGCCCAACCACCCATATCCAGCTATCCCCACACATCCAGTGGGCTTAACAACTGCAGGAGTCATGCCTCCACCCCTCTGCAGTCATCCCAGTGAGCATCAGTGATGCTGCTGCTGGCTGAGAGCAGCAGATCCACAATGGAGCAGTATTAAAAGCCACACTCTGATTTCAGTCCTCTGGTAAAAGCGAGAAAGGTGAGGGAGAAGCTCAGAGCTTATGTGTCAAAACCCAACAAACTATTAATAAGGTCTCAAACCTAAGAGATGAGTGCCCTTCCAGTCACCTGCTGGATACAGTCTCAACAGACAGGCTCCAAGTACAGGCACAGGACCCAGTTCAGAGATTCAATTCTCTGCTCTGCTGCTGTTCTGTGTGACCACTGCGTGTCCCTCTCCCTCCTGAGCTGGGTTTCTCTGTGCATGAGCAGGAAACCAGGATTCTAAAGATGATCTATGAGAGAAGCAGCACCAGAGCAACCAGGCTTGGCCACCTGCAGTTGGTGACACCCTGATTGTGAAGAGGGGGACACAGTCTGTGCACCTGAACAAATGCCTCCGAGTGACAGCTCCAGGCTCAGTGTCAGCCTTTCACTGGGAAAGGGCAAGTCACACCTGGCTTTGGGGCTGTGCGTAAAACCCCAAAGGCATTGCAATCTCAAGTGAGGGGGTGGAACCGAGAGTTGGCAACCAAATATCAAAGCAAGGCAGTGCATGGTGTCCCTGTTCAACCAAGAACTTTGTAGAAATAAAGAATTACCAAGAAACACGCTCAGAACATCATCACAAGACCAGTGATGGGTGACAGCCATGCATTAGTTGTGCTGGCATCAGTCTTAGGACCAGTCCTGTCTCTAGGAAAACCCAGTGGGTACACTCACACAGTCTGTTTACCCCAGAGCAACTCAGCAGGCACAGCGGAGCTACCAACACACATGGGTAACCCCACCACCACTTCAAGAGCTTTGTGCCTTGGTGCTCTGAAGGGAGAGAAACCTTGACCCTGTGGCACGAAGCAGTTCTCCCTCAGCATTAACCCTGTATCAGCACTAAAGCACAGACTGAGGGCAGCTGCTGTTTCACTTGGTGAAACACACAGTTTGAGAGCACTCAAGAGAAAGACATGGAATAATCTTGGTTATTGGGGTTTTACTGGGCAGAGATGGTACCTGGAAAAAAAATGGACTAAAAGTATTCCAGTGGTTTAAAACAGGCCAGGTGGAGGGTGGCACCTCCTCCTTTCCATATGTTGACACTCCAAATTGCCTTATTTTAAGGAAATATCTGTACCACACCATGCCTTCTCCCTCTCTCCAGCACAGGGTAGTTACAACTGAGCCCAGGAAAATGGAACATCAGGTTCTTACCCTTTAAAGAAATACACTGAGATTTGTGAATGACGAGGGACCCCAGAAGGACTTGAGCTACATGGGCTGTAGCCAGATCTAGACAGGACGATGCCAAATGCAACTTGATGAAACCATTATTTCCATGCTCAGGTAGAAGGTGGGTGAGCTGCCAGCAGCGCGACACAGTATCCAGCACTCCAGATAACTGATGGCTGAAAGAAGACTGGAAGAGTCTCCACCAGTGATAGCTTTTGAGGAAGCTGATCAAATCTCAAGCATCCTTCAAGACACCAGACCCTCGCCCACAGGCAGGCAGCAAGACCTCAAGGCAAAGCAGATGAGGCCACCTAACATCTTTATCCCTGGAGATCCCTCACCAGGACCAATACTGTTCCTCACAGAGGCTGGTCTCAGCACCTCCTCATCTTCACTCTCCACCTCCAACCCAGTGGTAACCTTAGCTGAGAGCTGGTACTAGTGTCAGTAAGTTTTAAGGAGTGGTGGTGCAGAGCAAGGTTGGGTAATGGTCTAAAAAGACTTGCAATAAGTCTAGACACACTGTTGCAACAACTGCATCTTTTTAAGACATGTGCCTGACAAAACCTATTTACAACTTACCACATTCTAGCAGTCGAACTTTAAAAACTCCCTAATAGACTTTTATTCTCCTGTTGTTGAAAATGAGGACACATGAGTTGCTACGTATGTTTTCCTTCAGCAAGTCTCCTGCTTTGCTTTTTTCCCTGTATGCATTCTGATGTGCTACTGCAGTACAATGTACAGCCACATCAGCTCAAAACAAGGTAATCCATAAGCCCACAGAATTTATATACTAAATATATACATGGTTCAGAAGGCAAGGCCTCGCAAAGGCTTTTTACCGACTTCCACTTGGAGCTCTGAATCCATCATGCGAATTGAAGCTGGCTTTGCTGAAAGCAAAAAATAAAAATCAGCTCTTCACAACCCTCCTGCACGCTAGGCCCATGCTTTACTTGGGTTTGGAGGCAGCAGAAGCAGAGAAGATTTAGGTGTGCAGAAAGTCCTTGAGCTGGCCGTTTCCTGTTGCACCTAGATGATGTGGACAAAGAGCATTAAAGACTCAGTCAGTTGTGTCCCCCCCATCTTTGACAAATGGGACATTTGAAAGAGCTCAGTAACTCTGAAGAGATACTCATACTTTCTTCAGTCACAGAGCACTGTCCAGGAAACCGGAATGGCCAGGCAAGAAGCCAGATCAAGGTACGCAACCCACCAGCACCCCAAAAGTGCTCCAACTGCCATATCCATATGGGAACCTCAACTGCCAGTGGAGAGCCTTCATGCGTTGCTGAACTGAGCGCTTACACAAGGCTTCTGGTACCAGGTAGCTCCAAGACCCCACTGTGATAAAATTAAGCCCAATGAAGATGGGAAGACTCATTCCAGACGTGGGGTCTGCAAGGTTGGCATCAGCTACAGCTCCCTCCAAGGCAGATTCTGCTCCTGCCCCCCATGGAGGGCTTTGCCATGGAAGGCACAAGGTGCCGAGATGGGAGGGCAGAGGCTGGGTGAACCCTGAGGCCAGCAATGGGCTGTCCAGCCCCAGGTGGCTCCAGCGGGCACAGGGCCAGGGCAAGGATGAAAAGAGGCCTTCATGGGGAGCACAAAGGGCAGCCTGTGATGTGCGAAAGCCGGAGCTGGAGTGTGGAGCAGCGCAGAGCGCTGCGGTTCTGATGAATGTTAAATAAACTTGTTTACAGAAAGGCAGGGCTGCATGTGTACGCAGGAGAGCAGAGGGCTGTCTGCATGCCCTTCCCTTCTTTGTCTGCCCAAGGCAGGAAATTTCCTTTGCTAATGGGGTGAAAAGCAGAAAAAACTCCACTGTGCACTAAAAGCCCCATTTTGGGGGCAGGTAACTTCACTTCCAATGCAGCAGAAAATCATTGTGCTCCTGGGATGGCTTACTGTACATGCTGGTCCCTCATGTCCTGCTTTGAGGTAGTAGAGAACAAACTTCTTAAAGGCCTCTAGCCTCTAAAATGCCACAAAGGAAGCATGGAGACTCTCCTGCACTCCAGGATCCAAATGCTGCATTCATCAGTACAAAGCTCTTCGAGAGCTACTGGCCTTGCTGCACACGTGTGACTCACCCAGGAAAGGAATGAAGTGAATGTGGAGTATTTCACAGGAGCAAAGTGACACACAGAGGCAATGACAGCTACAGACTATGGCTGTGATGCTGAGCCGAGGGCGAATACATAGGAAAGCTGGCAAGGCCAGGGGCAGAGCAAATACATACCAAATACTGGAAACAAAACAGTGTAAAAGGAATCCTAGCTCAGGAAGGAAGCAGGTGAAGTTTTCATGGGAATGAATCACTTTCTGCAGTGAAGTACTGTTACCAGTTAAGACCTTATCTGGTTTTGGGGAGGAGCACTGACACTGCTTCTGGGAGCACAAGCAAGCTACAAACAAACTGTGCTTCAGCAATTAATGTTCCACTATACAGACATAAAAGCTTGGGGTTTAGACAGCGAAAACATCACTTCTTAGTGCTCATTTCTTGGTTATTTTAAAGGTTTCCTAGCAAGAAGGCATCCTAGAAGGGAAGGATCTGTGGGGGATATCAGCCACAGTAATTCTGTTCATGTACCAAGCTAGGTGCAGTGATAAATTCCCCTAGTCACGTGAAAGCTCCTTTAATAAGAAACGGATGGCTGGTCAGGATCTCCCTGCTGGGCAAGATGCTCATAAATTGGGAGGGGACTGTGATCCAGCTTTGCTCCAGATCTTGGAAGGCAGGATGAGAATTCAGGAAAACAAGCACTGTGCTCTTGCCTATTTTCTTTGCCTGAGTGGTTCCTTCAGCCTCACCCCCACTTAAAGAAAGAGGCTTTGAGGGAAGCAGCTCCTCATGAGTTTCCGAAGGCAGGAGCAGATAAGGCTGGAATTACTAGTCATCTCCTTAAAAAACAGTGCCTTACAGAATCAGTGTCTCACCTATTCCTGTTCCCATCACCTCACTGAACTTGAGTCAGAGCCACATACACACTTCCCAGCACTGCCACCTGCCCCAGCACATCCAGCTCCAGACAAATTCCATTTAGATGCACACCTCAGCTTTCAACCAAGCTGAGTATTCATAGACACTTTCCCACTTCTACTTACAGCAGCAGTTGTGCTCTGCTGTAGCAGGAAGCATAGAAGGAACCAAAAACTGGCACATATGCTTTAGCCAGAGAAAAGTGTTCCTTTTCATCACTGTAGCTTCTTCCTGCCATTAGAAGCTAACAAACAAGCTATCCCATCAGCTGCTGAGAACTTTCCATCTACATGTCCTGATCTACTACTGCCACTAACGCTCACGTAGGTGCTACTGCTCTTCTGCTTAGGAAAAATTACAAATTATGTTCTCCCCAGCAGCAGCTTCGTCTCAGGGTGGTGAACACATTCTCACCACAAGTGATCCCAAAACTAGTTTCCATTAATTATAACTCAATAAAACCAGATTTTTTTAGAGGAGGGAGAGGAGGTATGCAATAGAGGAGAGGCAGGCAGGTTAGTAAAAGACCACCCATGCTTTTGTGCTTGAAATGCAAACAAAACTCCTTACCTGCCAGCACAGCAGGGACCAGGATGCCACACAGCATTAGCAGGACCAGGCGAAGGACTCTGTGGTAGGGCATGGCTTCCCTCGGGAAAAGCGTCACCAGAAATTCTTAAAACTCTTCGAAGTATGAAACAACTTGGGAATTTCACTGGTGCAATAAAATTTTGTCCAGCCAGGTTAAGAAAGATTTAAAAGATTAAAAAATAAAGAATTTACTTCACAACAGCAAGTGGATGGAGTGTGTGCAAACCCCAGCAGAGACTCACTCGCTCCGGCTTGTGGAGCACACCTCCTCCTGAAGGCAGCTCCACCCTCTAAGTTGTGCCTAAAACCCCATAGGCAGCCCAGCCATTAGGCATCAGTCACCCTGCCAGGCCAGTGCACACAGGAGCTGTTCTTGGCAAGTCCTTCTCAGTGGACATAGGGATGCTCCTGAAATGCCTTCCCTCTGGCCAGGCATCCCACGGCCAGACACAAGGAGCCATTGGGGGAGCTAACCCCAAAACCAAGCTGACCACTGGAGGGCTTTGCTCTCCTCTCAGTGTGCAGGGGTGGCAGTGGTCTTTCAAGGGTGGGTGCAGCAAAGAAACAAGGGCCTCAATCTTTTGAGACTAAAATGCTCTGAAATGCAGCCAGAGCAGCTCCATGGCATCCTTGTTTTCTGAGTGTATACTTACAGCGGTGGACTAGGAGCAGTGTGTGGTCTTCACAGGCAGAACTGCCTGTTAAAACCTGGTAAGTCTTCCAAGAGAGTTGCCCTTGTCAAGGAAGGCGAGCATCCTCCTCAGATCCAAACCTCATGGACACCACCTCCTCCTGCAACCCTCTGCCACCCCAGCCTTCCCCTCCAAGTAAGAACTTCATAGCAAAGAGAACTGAGGTTTGTTTCAAATCACATTTGCACCAAAAGAGGTTTGGGAAAGGATGAAGTGTATCAAAAGGGGAACGCTCTGGTTCATTATCAGAAGAATTTCGTTAGCATTTTTTAAAGTTGATATGAAGATTAGATGCTTCATGGGTTCCTTCAGAAAAAGATGTAATAAAGTACGAAAATACCCTCATATCAGTTCTTTATGCTCTGAAAACATGAGTAGTTTTGTCTTAAATTTTAGATTCAGATGTTTCTGCTACGAGATCTCTGCTTTTTGGCTTAGACAGGCAGCCAGATACAGTTCAGGTGTCCTGTTAAATCATCCTGCTTGCTGCAGTTCTTTGCATTAGTGCCTGGCTGTGAGAGGAAGCAGGAAAAACAGAGGACAGAGCACTGACCCTGCAGTGAAATGGTAAGTTAGGAAGGAACATGGTGAAACGTGATCAATACCAACCTCAGATCTCTAGCATTACGGTCAACATTATCTGCCAAACTTGGATCAAAGCCCTGTTAGCTTTCCAGGTTCACACTCCATCTGAAAAGGAGCTGGGAAGTACATAAATGTATATTCAGCAGCAGACACAAAGCTGTAGCTCCTATTTTTTCCATCCCTACTGATCCAAATGACTGTGGCTACAGAAACAGGCCCAGTTTGTTACAGAAGGTGACAGGGCAGTCAGTCACCTGAGCATAGAATCTGAACATGCCATCATCTTACCTTTGTACTAAATACAGGAGCCAGAATATTTAAGTATTAAAACCAACATCTTCCCCACTGGTCCATTATCTACCAGCTCTCAGAAGGCGAGTAAGGTTCTCAGGGTTCGACAGATTATCATTGCACATTTTTCCCTGCTTGCATTTCTGTATTTCCACTGAGAAACTGACAAGTTGCTCCTTTTCCTGCTCGCATTTCTGTATTTCCACTGAGAAACTGACAAGTTGCTCCTTTTCCTGCTCCCCAGCTGAGCTGGGAATTAGCATACTTTTGCTTATTTGTTATGTAGTATAGAGTAGTCCAAAATTGGCTTGTAGGAGTTAGATCATACCATTACAAAACCCCACCAACCAAACAAGCAGCAGAAAGTACTTATGAACCAGACACCTTGTACACACACACACACACACACACACACACACACAAAAGTAGGCAGTCAAACCAAGTAAAATTATCAGCCTAAACATGTACTGTTCTCCTGAGCCATTAGCTGAACACAATGCAAAGCTACTGTGCAAGTTAGATCTTAGCATATTGACTCCATATTCTTCGTGGTCACGTGAACGGTACAAGGACATTCATCATTAACTTTTACTGGGATTTTCCACACAAAAACAAGCATCAAATAGAAAAAAAAAGACAAAAATAAGATTTTTGTCTAAAAAGGGACGCCTACAAGGTGTGCCTGTGGACCTTTGCGCAGTGGGGAGAAATAAAACCTCTCATTTAGGGAAAGGAATTGGGGTGGGTGGGGTGGTTACTGACTGGCACAGAAAAGGCTCCATGGCCAAGTGTCTGTACTAACAGAAAGCCAGCCATGGCTTGATCTTTCCTGCATAAACAACATGAGCATGAATGCACATGTTTCTGTACGGGGGGCAGAATTAAAGCTTTCTTGTCAGAATTTTCCAATCTTGACTTACTGGTGTTTATCTGAACTCTAAAATTATCAAGTAGAAAAAAACCACCGGTATTCCTCACCAGGGAAGAAATAAAGCAGCAGCTGTTGTTCCACATCCTGCATGTTCGCAGTTGAGTTTGGGGTCAGTTTTAGCACCAGGAGTCACCTTAAAACTCAGCTTGGACAAAAGCAAGCAGAAAGTTTTCTCTCAGATATAATACAACCAGGTTTTATTTAAGTTCTCTCTTCCCCCCCACCCCCCCCCCCCCCCCCACTGGCAAAAGTTCAGAGGGAGTTTAAAGTTTTGTAAACATTTTAACTACCCCTCTTCCCCCTTTTATGAATTTACAAAGCAAAGGAGACAGGGAGACCAGATTTGCAACAGTTCCAAGTCTCTCCATGCTATTGGATCCAAAAACTATATACAAGTCTGCAGCAGTCTCTGTATAGTTACTGTACATGTTTAGGGGCAGGGGGAAGAGAGAGGAAAAAGAGGAAGAGGAGGAGGAGGGGAAGGTGACCCCAAAAAATGAATAAACCAAATGAAATAAAATCCAAAGCCAAACTCCTCTTGAGCAACTCGAACTGTTTTCTTTAGGCAGTGATGACAGAACAACAGACACCTTTATACAACTCCACCAGAACCGTAGCGTCTCTTCATTCACAGGTTATAACCCTCTGGGCATGGGAGACGGGACCAGGGGCTTGAAACTAAGTGCGTTTGGCAGTTTTCATTTCCTTTCTTTCATGGTGTATGCATGTGAGCGGGTGGAGAAGGGAAGGTGGTGTTAATCTTTCCGTGAGAGACGAAGGTTACAATTCCATAAATACTTAAAGATTATGGATCCCAGTGAAGGTGCATGAAATAGTTTAAGGTGTAGGAGATAAGCAGGGCCGTCATTGCACATAGCTTCGCCCTCCGCAGTCTCTCTTCATGACAAAAGGGCATCTCTGCTCGTTAACCTAAGCACTGCTTGAAATGACAAAGCTAAGACTGCTGGGGTATACATCCGAAAGCCAGTGTTCACCCTCAAAGACTAAAGATTCACACAGTAAAGATCCTACTGTCTCTTAAACGAGACAAATTTGCAGGAAAAGAGCTCAAAATAAACTGGTCCTAACCCTCTGAAGGTAGCATTTAAGGGATAAATTCAACCTGAAAGAAGAGATGCCACCTCTTTTTCCCGAGAGCAAAAGTCCCCACTTGTCCAGGAAGGCTGGAGCAGGCCGACAGGGAACTCCACAAGCTTCAGCATCACCACCTAATGAAGACAGACTCGAGCTTTCCCTCCAAAAATAATGTGCTGAGAAGGGCTGGCAGGGTGTGTGCAACTTCAAACCAACCCAAGCTAAACTGCGCCCGCCACCGCCCCTCTCCTGCTGTTGCCAGTTCTAAGGTTAGCTTATGAATGCAACTCCTGGCTTGGGAGAGCACCTCTTGCCCTGATGGAGCGTGGAAGTCAGTATCTGTGTGGCATTTTGGTTTTGACCAACATCTGTTAACCACAAACACTCCCTCTTTCTCTCTCCATGACTGCACGTGTTGGCTGTGGTAAGAGTAACCAGGAGAGGGAAGCAATGGTTTGCAGAATCCCAATTGATTTCTTTTTTCCAGGTATGTCAGCAGAGGAGATCACAGCACAGTGAAAGCTTGCTGCCCAAATCAGCCTTGTTGTGAATGAATCCTATCTCCCACCCTCCCAGGACTCCAAACAAAGTCCACTTGACTCTAGGCTGACAGTAGGAAAAATGCCTGTGCAGTCCTGGGCAGAAAGGGTTTGCTGGGGCTAAAGGAAGCAGCCTGAGATGATCGATTCTGTGATTCACTGCAAGGCGAAGAAGAACGCATGGTGGAGAGTACTGTGTCCAAAACGGAGAACCCATGGTTAACAGATGCAGGAAAAGCCAGTTGATTTGCACATGCTCAGTAGTCTTCCAAAGTCTCTATTTCTCCCATATTGAGCCGCTCTGATGAGGCATTCACTGAAAAGCCTGTAAGCCAAAAAAGGACTTGTGTTAAAAATCTGGATGGGGTATAGTGTATTTGATGCAACACATTTGTTACATGCAGTGGCACATGCAAGATAAAGTGAGTGATACCTATCAAATATAAACTCAGGTGGAAAGTCAGTGAGACTAAAGAGAAAATTAAACAAGCACTTTTTTCCTTAGTAAAAGGAACTTTATATTTAGCTAAGTATCACTTGGTCTTTAGAAACAGATCAGCAGAAGACTGGTTTCAACTTTCACTTAAAAGGTGCCATCTTTTACGAGGCACATCTAGGCACAGTGGTGACATGGCCGAGCTACATCTTGGAACGGAGCACCTCTGAGTCAACTGGTACTTCGGATCGCCTGTCAACACTGTACTTACATGGTCCAAAAGGCAGAAATAGACATTTTGTGAACATAAAATACAAATCAACACTTCAGAGAGCATGAGCAATTCTATCCCTTAAAGTTTAAATACATGTACGTACCTATGAAATCTAGTGACAATTCCATGTATTACTATGCTTTTTCACAATCATCTGTTTCAGGAGTACAACATGAACGTGTACAAAGTTATACAGGCCTATGCAGATGGCTCAAAATGCACCTAAACTTGTACCCAATCCTTTAACTGTAAGGGCTGAGGGCATAAAATACATGAGGAAAGAGAGGAAAAAAAAGCAAAAACATTTCCTACAAGGAAAAAATACAACATATCATATGCAACTTTCCTCATAAAATCCAACCTTTATGGTTGTACCACTCCCATACAGAGTATGGGGAAAAAGGAAAGTTTTCCTGTGTTAAGGCTACTTAACACAAATCTGAAATTTCACTGCTCTGTAGGCTCACTCTGGGCTAGAAAACAGACTTCTTTTCACAGTCATTATCTTCAACAAAGTGCTCTGTTCAGCAGGTTTTAGAGAACTGTTCTGGCTCCCTCTCGTGGCACAATGTTACCTAAAAGGTTTTGGAATTATTTTTCATGGAGCATACTGATTTTTGAGAAGGTGCAAGTGGTACTTCACTTACAGTTGCAACTTCCTAGTCATACTTAGTGATTTCTTCTTCATATTACATGGGCAGGGTTTTAAACTCCTCAACTGAAGACCCAGATCAGACTCACTATACTGGCATATGGGCTGGCATAAGTCAGGATTCCACTGAAAAGTTCAATATACTTCAACACAGAAAATACTGATTTAAAGAGTATTGATTTTGTTGAGAACAAAAAGCAAAGACAAAAACCAGAGAGGGCTCTGTTAAAGCCTTAAAAAACAGCAGTGACTTCAATGTGGTTAATACCAGTCTGCTTTACACAAGCACAAGCTAAGCAGCACAACAAATACTGGCCCAGTGCAGTGCCCTCATTTCCTTTCTATCACACACAGCACAAATGCAGACTCATTTATGCTACTAAAACACTACAGCAATGCATTATACCCCACAATGCTCACTACTACATGATCCCCTTGTATCTTAAAGGCCACTTTAAAGGAACCTTTCCATCAATGCTACAGGGGCTGGGTAACTACCATCTTCACATAAAAATTAAGATACAGAACATAAATATTAAAAACCCTGAGTACTAATGATGCAGTCATCTCCACTGCCTCCATATGAAAACTTGTGACAGTTATTCACCTTTTTTTCTAAAGATCTTTGCCACCTTTTCTGACTCATGGGTGGTTAGCTCATGTAGAAAGGTAGGAAGGAATAAAGGCAAGCCTCAAAAAGCTGTTCCTCATGAGGAAAGAGAAAACAGGTTTTTCTTAAGAGAATTATCATTAATTCAACAAAATAGGCTAAGGTCCACTCAAAAGAAAAAAGGCAGTTTAAATGACATCCTTTAACTACTTTAATGTTTGCAGGTAATAACCAACATACTGAAGAGGCCTTCTTAGGAGGAAAAGTGACAGATGTTTGACGAAACCAAAACAGTATTTTTTAAATCTTTAAATAGTAATACTGAAACAAATTCTAAAGATGCTTCAACAACTACCTGTTCTGCTCAGGTCTGATATTCCCATTTAGGGCTTACAAGCATTCCACACTCCACAACACTTCTCCCAATCAAAGAGTAATTTCTAAAAGTTAAAACTGACCTAGCAAGCTGGGATCTGCACGAACCATTTTCTGTTTCTTCTTTTTCTTGCCACTCTGCACAGCCTCAAAATTGGATTGCTGGTTGTTGCTCTGATTGGTCTGAAAGACCGAATGTAGCGAACTGTGGTTCATTCCCCACACTGAATCCTAGAAAACAAAGCGAGTTCAAGTTTATAAAGTGCAATT